CTCCGAAAGGATGTTCCGCTGTTACCGTAAGTTCTCAAAGAAACGCGCACCGTATTTTCCCCGATGCGGGCCGCTGAAAGATGCGGCCCACTTTACCGCGGTAGTGTGCAGCGGGAGCCACAAGCGGTCCCACCGCTTCGCACAGCTCCTCAAATGTTGTGCGCGTCATTCTGAAGTTTTGGATCTATAGTTCCTCTGTGAAATCATGTACCACGACTTCCCAAAAGGTTCTCATCCGTATCCTCTCCCAAGTATGGAGATCGCCGCTCCATTACACTCAGAAGGAGATGCCGCCGACGCTTAATCCGGTTAGAGCCGCAGCAGAAGTCAAGACATTAATATATCTCACGTAAATCAAAGTGTTGTTTACTTCTGTTGCCATGTTGACGTACTAGAAGCTAGTGAATAAACGCGCGAAAATAGTGTATACTTATTCGAATATGTCTTAATGGAAACGGCCGTTTTTGCGAATTACAGGTTTATCAAATTTTGAAATGTATCGAAAAAGTTTTTACGCATTATTCAATGGAAACGCAGCTACTGTCTGTCGTGAGCCACTTGAACTCACTCTCAGAAGTTGATTAAAGCTGCACTAACTGACTTTATTTTCGTATTCATTACGAAAATGCTATCCATGTCCATGTAGTGCATTGGGATATACGTCCTTTTGAAGAATAATTAGCGCAGATTTGTGCTGGCGTGACATTATATTTTAGATCGAGTTTTGATGAAACAAGGAAGAGAATGTGTTTCGGGTCGCAGATTGTGACCAATCACAGCGGACCACTGGCCCCCACTTTCGTGAGAAATCTACAGGTCCGTTAGCACAGACAGCTGAGTTAGCACAACAAGCCGAGGAGCTAACCTGAAGCTTCGTGTCTTCATCACCGGTTACTGCTTACACAGCGAGACAGCCATCCAAAAGAAAGTCCCATTCCTCCGCGCTTCCCGGTTCTATCGCTCTATGGTCACGCCATCCACGTGAAAATCCATATCCATGTATTATCCATATTGGGAGACGCTAGCTCCGTCCCAACAGTGGGTGTGTGTGGGGGGCGATAGCTTCGTGGGTGCGGGGAGGGGAGCAGAAAGAGAGAGGCCAGCGAGTCCACGGCTTCAAAATCCCAAAGTCAGTTAGTGCAGCTTTAAGTTGATTTTACTTTAACTACAACCTCAAAGTAAAATGAACTTAATGTATCAAATGAGGTGAACTTTTCATCAGTAACTTCTGGAAGTGAGTTCAAGTGGCTCACAACAGACCGTTCAAGTTCCAACTTTCAATTTTATACATAGTTCCCAAAGACCAATGAATGTCACATGACCTCCTCGGAGACGCCATCTTTGATGGCACGCTGCTGTGTTTGTGCATTCCATTAAACAGAAGAATGAGAATAAATGTAGATATTCAAACGCAAATTGGAAAAAAGGGCTACTTTTGAGCAAATAATTGTATATTAATACAATGGCACCACAGTTTAACGTGCTACGGACATGTTTTACATATTTGATCAAATTATGCAGCAAAAATTAACAAGCAATGCAAACATTTCTCAAAAACTTTAGATTTAATACCAGTTGGAGCTCCATTTAATTATTTTAATTATATTAACAATTAATTTAATTAATGCTAAGCCACACGGACACTCTGGATTGCGTAAAGAGCAGTTTTTATGTTTTTATGACACAGATCAGATTTTTTACAGAAGCAATGCTGTTTGTGAACATTGTTTTAGCCCACCATAGAACTATTATTATCTATTTAATACATTTACGTTGCCCTCGAGAGCCTCGGACGCGACACCGATCCTCCTCATAATAAAGTAATCTAACGCTAAATAATGAAACTCTCAAGTTACCAGATATCAGCATACACAAGTTAGTACTGAGTAAATTGACGTCTGTCAACACATTATAAGATACGATACGCACCTGACACAAAGTGCTCCGAGCATATTCTTGCGTGTTTTGAGGGAGTTTCTTGCCTGTTTATCTTCGCAAGCCATAACCTCCGTCGTTGTTCTGACAAAAGCTTAGTCTTCTCACATTCATGAAGTCTAATGATGGGTATACTGTAAAATCCAAGTTTAACTGAACCTCCGGCACGATTTGAACATCCATTGACCCAGCAGGAGATGACCATTTTCAACTTTATCACGACATTAACACGTTTCAGCTTCTTTTTCTATTGTTTTGCCCACAGAATGCCAACTCAAATGGCGCCGGGTCGGCAAATCCCCGTATGTAGTGACGTCATGTGGGAACTATGTATTGTCAGCTAATGCAAAAATCTTAGTAAGGTGAACAATTTTTAGTTATCGTTTTTACAGTAGCCCTTTCAAGGTTTACTTGAAATATTAGGTGTAGTAAAAATAAAATGTATTATTGTTCTTAGGTTATTGGCATAATCCAAATAACTATTCATGTTATAGAATTATTGTAAAAGGTATCTTAATTTGCCAATATTGTTATTAATCCATTTGTTTTATAAAGAGCTTGTTATTCTTTAACCCCATACACAGTGTTAATAAACTACAACTGTAGCCACGGCTGCCATGGGGCACACTGATAGGAACTACAGTTCAGTAACTCACCTCTTCCCCATCCCCGCCTTTTCAGTGGAGTACTGTCATGTCTTTGGCTCGGCTTCCTTTCACACCAAAGGATTTGCAACCAACCTCATAATTTCTGGGAAACGCCCTCTTGCAAATGTCATGCTTTATTCCTGCCAGGGTCTACTCGCCGAGCAATCTTTATATTGAGTTTTTTTCCATATTAAAGTATACCTTGAACCTGAAGCTCACAGTGGAAGTGTTCTCAGGTCAAGCCTTTTAGTTTCAGTTTTACAATATACATAACATTTGCAGCACTTTTTATGCACGTTACTTGGAACAGATCACTATAGCTAAAAGCAAAAAAGTGTAAATAAAAATACTTCTGTGTACTGAGTTGTTCACTCTGACAGTTGACCATAACTGTCTCAAAGTCAGGGTGATCCTCAGGCAGATAAGGTTAGATAAGTTAGGCAGTTAACCTTATCTGGTTTAACTGTAATCTGATTGAACCATGGATTGATCCATCTTGTTCGACTTCTGAAAAACACCAATTTAATTAAGAGTGTGAAGAATGCATATACAATGAATCATCTTTAAATCAATGTGTTGCTTCTATACACACAATGAACATGGACTATTCTAACTGGAAAACCCCTCATTGGTGTTATTTAGAGAACTTGATCATGAGTTTAAAATAAAGCATTTGAAGAATATCTGTTTTGTGTGAAATGAATGGTCCTTCTGTTTTACACATTGACTCACCCAGAAAGTTTTGGATCTACATTCAATGCTTTTTTGTGACTATCGTGTCTCCATGCCTATTGTAAACAGTAATGTTGCTGTTTATAATTTGAGGGGCATGTACAGATGCAGCACAAGAAAGACTATAAATTCTCCATGTATAAGACCTCTTATTCTTTTCCAGATGCAACTCGAAAAAACTCATCACTACTTTTCATCACATCTTTCAAAGCCTTATACAAAAAATAAACTAACACTGCTCTCATGTTCAACTCTGAGTGACAAAACTTTGTGCATGTCATGTGTGGAAAGAAGCTCGAGGAGGTAAGACTGATTCAATGTCAAGTAGGAGAAAAGGACATGAGCTGGAGTCAGAAGTCATTCACAACAAATTCTGGAGAACGTCTGTAAAATGTCAAATTTCTGAGAACCCTTAGGAGCTGAGAAAAATGTCACCAAAAAATTGATTCGAGGAGAAGCATTACAGGCAGAATACCCATAAAATATTACTTTCTTTGCACTCTATTATATCCAACTGGTCCTGATTTGATTATAAATAAGCAAGGATTTCTGGGTACTAGTCTTGTGATTGACCACAGAAAATAAGGCCATGGCAATATGCACCAAGCACTTTCACCTTCTCACCTAAGAGTGTGCAGATTCTGGGGCTTGAGTCAACCTGCAGGATTGGTGAACTGTGGAGTCACTGCTCATCATGCATTCTACTGATAACACTGTAAAATATGATGCAGTTCATAAAAACAAACTCAAAGAAATATAAGATTGATTACACCGCTGCTGCTGTGCTTTAAAATACTAAGTTAAACGCTTGAATAGTTTTAAAAAAGCTATTCAGGTGGGAAATAAATACATAAAAGTAGATTAAATAAATACAAAACCCATATATTGACCAACATGTGAATTGCGTCTTGGTCTGACCGGATTAATCTTAGTCTTGTCTTGGTCTTAACCCCCTGGGGGCCTTAACTACTAGAACAAAAGAACAGATTACAATGACATTCTTTACACACATTTTATTATCCTAATCATTGTGCACCCTGCAGTGTCAACACTTCAATTGCTTAATTTACTGACTTTGTATAATACAGGGATTATTTACAAATTGTGATCATAGATATTACACAATCTAAACAGGAAATGTAAAACATGCAGATACACATCAACAATACATGTGTGGCCAAGAGTGGGTTTGTCAAAATACCTCCAGCAGCAGAGACAGTGTATGTTCTGTTCACAAAGGCAAAATATGATGTTATTTTAAGACGGTTTCAATTCATGGAGCTTAATTTTGGCAGACATTCATATCATGAGATCCCATAACCACTGCTCAAGTCAATGACGCTTTTCTTCTTTAGCTGCTTACTGCAGGCTACATGAGCCCTGTACTTTCACCCGGAGTCAAAACTGTTGCTTTTTGAATTATTCAAGTATAATGAGAAAATAAATAAAATATACAGACGTCTGTTGTTCCTGTTCAGAAATTACCGATCCGTATATAAACTTCATTGTCCCTGATGAGTAGACTTCGCTTCACCATCAGAAGACATACATGCATTTCCAAATGTTCTGACTTCTGCTTCCGCCTGTGCGGTTGGCTACAATCACAAAAAGAGAACTTGCAGGTGTTCTTTCCTTGAGCTCCAATCATGTTTCTCCAATCATGTTTCTCCCTGAAACAGTCAAATGTTAGACCCCGAAGCACCAGGAGCACAATATAAATTCCTGTAGCGTCTTGCGCAGCTCCTGGCTGCGGTATGCGTAAATGAGTGGGTCAATTAACGAATTACAGATAATAAGGATGAGAAACAAATTGAAGTTTCGGAAGTAACAGTTGCAAAATGGGCTCGTGGGACACGTGAGGATAAGGATGAGATGGAGGAAGAAGGGCCCCCAGCACACAATAAAGACCCCTAACAGAATAGTGAGGGTGATGGCACCCTTCATACTTGTGGACTGACGCCGGTTCTTGTTGAATGCTACGATGCGACGTGAATGTACGTGCGCCAGTAGGAACATGTGCAGATAGAGCACGGCATTGAAAACCAGAGTAATGCAAAAGAAAGTGACGAGACACACGATGACAGCGTTGTCCTTGTGGTACACGATGAAGAGGATGCTGGACGTGATGCTCGCAAGCCAAACCACCACGATGATGGCCGTGGCGCGCTGGGTGGTCATGATGTTGTGGTAACGCAGCGCGTAAAAGATGGTTATGTATCGGTCGGCGGCAATAGTGCAGAGAAAGGACAAAGACGAAAGCACGGAGCTGCAGATCATCACATCAATGATGTCGTCCAGCTGTTGCAGCATCTCTGAGTGCACTACCAGCAGGCCGTTGTCGTGCAGCAGCATGAAAATAGTTTCAACAACATTACTGACACTGACCAGCATGTCAGACACGGCCAGGCAACAAATGAAGTAGTACATGGGCGAGTGTAGGTTACGATTCTTTATTATAGCCATAACCACTAATATATTTTCAACCAAACTGATGAGACCCAGCGCTAGGAACAGCTGCTGCGGGATTAATATCTGCACGCAGCCCAGGGAATTGTGCTCCCCCATAGAGGAGTTTGTTTCGTTATCTTCCAAATAGTCATTAATTGAAGAGAAATCCACATGGAGGATGGGGTTATATGATCCGTTGGGCATTTTAAAGTATTCTGAACACAGCGCCGTTTGGCAAAAGTGGACGTGGGGCCCCCCACGGCAGGCTTGAAAACAGGAGAACTTCCAAGAAAGTTTCAGAATCAACTGATTCAGGGACGATCACCAAGACATCAGCATCGCTTAAACACCAAACTATCAACATTCGTCGAACAAATGCTTCCACTTCCAAATGTGAAAGACGGAATTACGCCCCAAATAAAAAAAGTTATTTTGTTGTTCTTGTAAGACTTGCTTCACTGAAGAATGTTATGTTTAAAAGGCGCGTTTTATGCTCACTCGTGCGGACAATGCGTTGTGCCCAGACCTTGTGCGTCTTGAGTGCCCTGTCCTCTGGGAGCAGATGGCTCAGCTCCTCCTCCTCACGACGGTTCTCTAGTGGGCTTGTCCCCACGATGACACATCTCCAAAACCTCCACATTATGGCCAAACTCACTTGAATAGCCACTTATTTATTGTCTATTAGTGCATCCCAAATGTTATCTGTGAAGAAAAGCACAAAAACACCACTAAACATTGAGATTTTTACCAATACTGAAAGAACAATTTTCAAATGAATAAACAAAAAACAATCACTATCAATCTTGTAGAGCGCTCACCTTTTTAGCTGAGAGAACCAGACATGTCTCCTACTTTAAAATGTATTTCTGTGGAAGCTTTTTTTTTTGCTGTGAATATGTTTGAGTTTTTAAAAACGAGATCAACACATTTAGAGTGTAATATTAGTCTTAGAATGCATTATTTTGTTTAATAAAATATTTAATAATACGTTTTTTTTTTACAAGAAATCCAGTCCAAACAACACTCTTACTATTGATGCCTAAACTAAAAGATTTATCTGAGAGCCAGACACAATCATCGAAAAAGTCACATCTGGCTGCTCCCAGTCAGGTTCCTGACCTCTATCGCACAAGGGATTTAATAGTGAACATTAAAATGACAGAAGGCATTAAAAACCATCACACCGGATATTAAAAACATACAAATTAAAATAAATATTAAGATCGGGGTATTAAACATAAAGAATCACAACGCATGAAAACAATCCTTCAGTTGCATGCCCAAACAAACAGAACTGTTTTTAACCTGGATTAGAATGCTGTCACTGAAGCCTGACTCACATTTTCAGGATGACGAAAACAGCAGAACATTGAGGTACTCTCTAACCCAAAGAGATGCTCTCTAACTAACCAGAAACAATTTTGCCAAATTGAACAGTAGTTAAGTTTTAAAGCAGAGAAAAGTCAAATAGCGTAATATGGGACATTTAAACCAATTTAACACAGTTCCAGTGATGTCCACCCAGGCCTCTCTTCTCAGAGATGATCCTTCAAAAGCAGCACTCGGATCTAACATTATTTAAGATAAGATTGAGACTTTTTCAGCGTCAGTGTTCAAATAATGTCCAAGTAAATTTTTATTTCTATTTATGTGTTTATCTTTAATCCCCCGAGGCAAAGGCATCAAAGGACAAATGTTAGTCTTTAAATCTTTCAAAATAAAATTCTGTGCCAGTTACAAAACTCTTACGTTTCCAGGCGGCAAGTGGTTCACTGCAGACTCCTGAGCCACAGATATAATACCCTTTCTATACTGCAATGGATCACATGAAAACTTCACAACCTCAGCCTTAGCTCCAGGTGAATGGAGAACAATGACATCATTTTGCAGTGAAGCGCAGTCACACTGGGCGGTCATGTGGAACTCTGAGAAACAGGGTCGATGTAGATACACGGATTTGTCCACTGTCCTTGTATCTTTTTCCCTCTTCTTTCAACTTTGGACCTTAGTTAAAACCAAAACATTCCAACCCATTTGTCATCTTACAAATACATTTGTTTTTATTCAGTCTCAATTTCATGGTTTGTGAATCAACAATTTGACTGTAAGTTTGTTAGGAAAAACAACATTATTGCCTTAGGTCAACAGCGCAACAAAACTGGTATCTCCAATGATCATGTTGACCATTCGCAGATTGTATAATGTAGTAATTAGATCTAATTTCAAGCATAAAACATACTGGTTTCAAAAAGTCACTGCAATTAATATCAAAACCTTTGTTGCCCTTGTCTTGCTCTACATTTAAGCATATGCAGGTGTTTCTCCTTCAGTTGTGTTTCAGCCGCTGGGATTTGGGTAGAGACAAGACCAGCTATATTTAACCAACGCTTTGATTGAGAAGTGAGAAAATATTTATTATTATATTACCATTATGTCTCCATTGTTTCTCTAATAAAAATATACCCGCATGAACAATTGAAAAACTTTGAAATTAAAAATTGAAAAATCTCAAAAACTGCTTTACAGGATGGTCCAAAAGTTAGCTCTTGGCCCAACTCTGCCTTCCAGATGCGTGTCAATGCTGAGGGGAGTATTCTTTTCGGACCAGCTTAGTTTAGTTACTGTGGACTTTTGAACTCACTTATGTGGCACATGAATGGGACTTGTTCCAACTAACGCATCGCATATGCATTTTTTCACAATTTCCTGCGCCCATTTGGAATCCACCCACGTTTGTGGCACATACATTTCTACAGAGGAAATAAGCAGCATTATATCTTTCAATATTTATAGTCAACAGTATGTGCAGCATATATAGCGTTCCGGCCAATATATGCTGTTTTTATTTTGTTAGATCGCCCCCTGTGGTGCAGAAAGGCTCTCCAGAGCTGATGATGTAGCACAGTACTGCTTCCCAGTGTGCTTATGTGAACAGCAGTGAGCCACACTTAGGAAGTGCAGGGAATACACATGACTCTGCTAATACCAGAGCAGAGTTTGTGGACTTTTTATTAAGCATATTATTGTCGAATAGATTGGATTTACCAGAGTGCTTTGATCAACGATCAACAGTCAACAGTAAGTAAAAGACCTCATCATTAAATTAAGTTTCTATTGCTTTGGCGCAATCATCTATTGGTGAAGTGAAAACATGCAGCTTATGTTCAAGTATGTCCTATAAGTGGACAAATTTACTTTCTCAAAATGTACTTATGCAGTTTATATACAGTAGATGAGCTTAGTCAAAGTACTGTACATTTCTGTCCCAATAGTTTGTTTCATTAACATTATGTAAACTATAAGTTTTGTTCCTAAAGCAGAAGGTTCAAACAAAGGACATATACATTCTTTCCGCCTCAAAAATAGCTTCTTTTCCACTGTCTTTCAGTCCCTCAACCAATCCCTGATGTGAATGCCCATGTTTATGTTTATATTGTTCTCTGTAACTATCACAGTTGAGCGATGAGCGTTCCTGCTGTACCGGAAACAAATTCCACCAACTTGTGTGGTCATTAATAAATTATTCTGATTCTGATTCATATGATAATGGTTTGTTTAATCAATATCTCAGAACTACAAAAAACAAAACCCGGTTGTTCAGTGTCCCTCAGTTTGATGTCCATGAAAGACATATGTATCCTCATGATTGTATGATCCACCTCTGTCTCAGTCCCACTCCTCGTCATCCCTGTCGGGGTTATCTTCCCTCGGAGGCTCTTGAAATCGTATGTTAAGCAACATGTCTCTCATTGCTACCATCAGGCGATTCACTTCCTGGTTCAGTTCTTGTCCTGCCCGAGCTACTTCCTGATCATCACCTTGTCTCTGTCCATCCTGAAAGAATTACAAAAAAAGGTTGAGCAAGAGTCAAATAAAACGGCAAAAAAGAATGCTAAACGTAAAGGAATCCAAATATGAATTCAGAATCAAATAAACCATGAGCTACCCTGAAGCTAAGGGTCATGTTCAATGTAACAGACTCCACTGTCAATGTTTTAAGACATGTAACTTTATTAAACCCTAATCGTATTATTCTTATCCATGTTTCATCTTTCCTTTCGGATGACATGGTCAGGATGTGAGCAGCCCTAACGGAAACATGCCTCAGTCTAAAACTATTATGACACCCCAGCACATTTTATTAATCTATGATCACTATTAGCAATTAACTAAAATGATTCTTGCTGGGTTCACTCGGGCTGCACAATTCTACATAAATGTTTATAAATTGTGATTACTATTTGATGACGATTCTGTTATGAAGCTTGGATCATTTTCAAAGTGCACAAAGAGAATTAAAATTTGAGGGAAAACTGAAAGTTTGTTAAAGTAATTTCAACAAATTTAATTCAATACATTAAAATCTCACTTAAAATCCAACTGTCCGTAAAAGTAAGTTAGATAAGAGATCATAAGACTGGACTTGCCGTGTCATCAGATAAAAAAGTGAATATGCAAGAGAAAAGCGTGTGTAATATGTGCAGTGATCCTTGTATTTCTAATCTGTTTCAGAGCTGTAAACACAGAATTTATGTAATCTATATTAGATTACATAAATAAATAATAATTACATAATAAATATTAATCATACATAATAATTTAACAATTATTTGCGCAACAAAGCAGCAATAAGAGAGCGCTTTTATCAAATCAGTAGAAATACTTACTTGAAGATTGAAATTGGGCAACAACGACCGAAAGAATAGGGACAAAGTGCTCTCATTAGATGCTCCAGCATGCAGTCTAAAATGCAAAAGAAAATGATCACATTTGAATAGGAAGTACACAGTCGTTTTTCTAATGATAAATACTACTGCCCATACCTCTCGGGTCGTGTGTATGATATAATGGAATCTAAAGGTGGTAAAGGATCAAAACCCATCACTGGTTGAGTGGTCACCTCCTAAAGCCATGACAACAAACAAGAAGTGAACAATCACTTAAAGAAATAAGCCACATGAGAAATAATCAACATTATTAATTCAATTTGAAGCTTACAAGAGGCAGACTGGACGATGCCCCCTTTACTTCTGAAAGGAGAACATGTCGATGGATGTTCCTTGGTGCACTCTGGTATCTCTGCTTCCTCCTGAAATATTTTTGTTTAGGCAATTATAAGATAAGAATGAGGAGAAAATAAAAGTAATTAACTCCAATCTCACTTGTTTTGGTAATCTTCCACCAAAGGGTCTTTGACATCTACTCGATGAAGAACTATTTGAACATTGGTTTCCAGCCACTGCATCACTCCAGCCTCTTTCCAAAGGGTGAAACTTCGTCCGACAAATAGTGCTGTCAGTTCAGCCAAAGCTTGTGGTTGCCTTTAAGAGAACGTTAACATTGACATTTCTGCTACAGTACCAATTCACATTTTATAATATTCTGTGATTATTAGTCCAGGCAAAAAAAAATTAATAGGACTTTCAGTATGTTATTCTGGACACAGTATTTTAACACAGTTATTTCAGTACAATTAAATTGATAGTCTGAACTTTGTCAGAAAAAAGAAAGAGAGATACATGATTTGAAGAAGAAAAAAAAAACGACCCAAGCTCCCTCCCCCTTCCTTTCTGATTGGTCTTGAAGCCGCGCCTACTTCCGCGCACGCGCCAGGTCAATGGTCCAAGACGTGCAGAGTAGAGATTATTATTTTAAATATTCAGATATATCTGAATATTTAATCATAATTTATTATACCGCTCCTCACAGCAGCCGAACGCTCCATTGATTTGAATGTAATTTCAAAACGTTCTACCGATTATTATTTCTTGATAGCGGACGTCTCAAACCAAAAATGGCCGCTGTCCTTTGGCAACGCTTGTGCTTGTACTTCAGGTGTGTAAAATACTAAGATTACTCCGGACAGTAGTTTATACACTACACACAAAGGGCTTTCAGCGCCTGTCACTTATTACTACTGTCTCTGTGAGAGAAGCTATCGAAGCTAGCCACGCTCAATAAACAAATGTCAATCAATCAATAGCACATTTAAATGTTAATCAGAGAATACATTATACATATAGATTCTTAAAACATGTGCACGGAGGTTTTCAGAGTTATACTGTTTTAATGCGGCAAAAAGCGATTGCGGTAAACCCGGAAGTAACTATTAACATTAGTAGAACATTTTAAGACACATTTGAAGAGGATCTGATTATAGATTTAGGTTAAGTTTATATACTCTCCGCTGATGTTCACAATTCTTTGTTCTCTTTTCATGGAGTTCCAGAGAGTTCTAGTTAGTTAGCTAGCCTAGTTGTTAGCTGTTGCCCGACTAGCCACGTCGCGACGAAACCTTTAGGAACTAACTACTTAATATATATCATTTAAAAAAGATAATGGTCATTACAACTTCGAATATTAAGGGTTGTCTAATATTCGTTTGAAATATCCATCCATCCATCCATTTTCTTCCCCTTTATCCATTTCTGGGTCGGGGGGGTGGCAGTCAGAGCTGCACCCAGTACACAGAGCACCAGCCCCTCACTGATCCTCCTGCAGGTGGTGAGTCCACAGGAGCTGAGATCTTTCAGTGGGAGCTTCAGGCAAAGTGGGGTTAAGTGTCTTGCCCAAGGACACAACGACAGCAGTCATCAGTGGGAGTGGTGAAGTAGGTCTTATGGTGGGCTTGAACCCACAACCTTCAGGCCCAAAGGCCAATGCTCTACCAACTGAGCTACTGTCGCTACTGTCGTTTGAAATATCATATATATATATATTATATATATACATACACTTAAAAATCAAATTATATACGAGCACGAGTGCGATGATTGACAGCCCTTGGCATCACTTGATTGGTTAAAGTGGACGGCATCGTGGATTGTGAGCAATAGCTAAAATAAGGAAAGGCGGGACTTACCCGTAATATCATAATTTTATTTTATATCAACATTTAAGGCCAGGTGGTCAATTTAATACAATTCTTAAAATGTAAAATTCATTTAGAGTTTCAGACCATCACTTTTAAGTATTCATGGAAAGAAACATTTGTTGTATTAAGAACATTTCTTAAAAATACATGTTCAATATATTGGAGTATAAAAGTTGAGCAACTCTTTCTTAAAAAAATAAGGCGTGTGTGGTGTAATCTTCAAAGAAACTTGCAAATACAGAACCAACCAGGATTTCTTGTGTTGTTCTGGAAACCGTGGCAAGAAATACTACATTTAATATTACATATATAGTACAGGTAATTTGCCTGTAGTATATGTGCAGTATAAATATATATACCCTATTTGAGTCCTTGAGCCAAAGAAAGCATGTGAGGTCACTGTGGTGTCCGGCTGCACCGTACAGAGATCCAACAACGGCATCAGGACTGAAGAACCACAAAACAGAGCATGTCATTTCCACATCATTAACAGTTTGTCATATTTAGGCAGACAAACCTCCAGGAAACATTATGAGTGCATCTTGCAGCCTCAGGTCTGCTTCACGCCTGAGTTTGTCACTTTCATCCGGGTCCATATCTTCCTGTTGGCTCAATTGGAAATGGCAAAGGGCAATAGAAAATGCAAAATTTGGCAGCTGAGATAGATTCCGGTGCTCCTAAAAAAGTATAAGTAAACTATGAATTAGTTTGTGATTCAGTGTTATTATACATTTAAAAACAATACCGTATACCTCCCAGTCATGGAACAACTGGACGAGACACTGGTATTCTCTCGACCGCAGCATAAGGAAATCAATGAGCAGCAGCATGCACAAAGGATCAGAGTCTGGATCCAAACTAAAAAAATAAAAAAGTGTTTATGATATAAAAATACATATAGAACAATATATGTTGTGTATGTGTTGTGTGTCATAACTGCAAAAAAACTAGCAAAAAAACAATAACAGTTTGTTTCTATGTAGTATGCTGTCCCCAGCCCAGTTGATCAAGTTTCAAGACTTCATGACAGTGACACAAGCAGAGTCTGCACACAGCCTCTGAACTCACAAAAGTCAAACTCGAAATACAACATAATGCTATCAAGAGTCTGTTTTAAATCATGTGGCGGATTAAAACCAACTTTTATCAGTGCCGCCTAAACATGGACAGCCGTCAACTTGTATTTCAGCAATAAAGCCAAGTGCAATTACAGGCCAGACCGATGTGGTTATGATGTCAGGACGCAGGAGATCAAAATGGGAGATAAGGTATGTCCATCGTGTGCAAAATAAACATGTTACATAGAATATACAATAAAGAGAACATTGACATTTCAGAATACATATTCAGTCTAGTTTTTGGAAAGTGAAGGCAATGAACTCTATCAACTCCTTTACACAACAACATTTTGCCCTTGATAAAAGGTGATATAAGCTGCAAACACTGTTCCACAAATACACACATTTAAAGCACTCACCCACATTATCCCTAGCGTCTAACCTCAATAGAATGCCTCTTAAGTCTGATGACTGTACTCTATGGTGGGTTTTTTTCATGAATACAATAAGGAGGCACTGTGGTAAATGTATCAGACCATATTCAAATAGTAGGACATTGAAAAAATTAAAATGTTTTTGCCAGTACTTGTGATATAAAGTATATTGTACCTTAGGATTAATTTGCAATATTCCAATGCTGTCCGTGGGCATCCCCTCTTCTCCAAAAACATCATGTGCTTATAGAGGGCCAAATAAAACGCTCTAGAAAAAAGTGAAATTTAACATACACTGTTTTTTTTCCACCATTGTGTTTTATAATGAACCGACCTGTTCTCTGGTCTGAGATAATCCAGTCTGCTCGTTCCTGAGGTCAAACTGAACAGAGGATGAAAAGCACATTCGAAGCTGTACAACGCCCTCTCTGAAAAATAATATGTTCCCTTTAACTTTATTGCCCACCATAGTGGAACGTCGTCTTTGGTCAATCACATTTGTCAACCAAAAATGACGATGACACGGTTTTTTGGATCAATGTATATATAATCTGCATGACTAAAAAAACAATAATAACATTGAGACATCAAGGGAGGGGCCTGGAAGCCCTGCAAAAAGAAACCTTTGATTTTCCATTTGATTACGTTTGATTACATTTGGTTCTAGCGACCATTGTGTGCTATATACATAATTTTCTTTTGTTTTTAATTTTACTATATTTGTCTTTTAGAAATACTAACATCACACATACTCAGTCGTTTTCAAACACAACTAACAAAGAGCCTTTTTAATACGAACACTTACTGTACCTATAAGGTCTCGGGCCATCTCCTGATCCTCTTGTATCCGGCAAACATCTGAAAGCTGCAGTAAAGAGTCGATGTGGTAGGGGTTCAGCTGAAGCAGAGCCTATATAGACAAACACACAACATGTCTTAATGTGCAAAAAATGACATAAATGAGACGAGTTAAGACAACAAGACCTCACCACAATGTTGTTTGGGTCCATAGACTCTACTGCATCCAAAAACTTGAACTGGACTTGTTGGTATTCACGGTTGTGCTCAAAAGTTAAATAGTGAATGTTGTCTTTTGACAGGAGCAAGGACATGGAAATTCCTTGGAAAAACACAAAGCAAATCCCAAATTACAATACAGTGTTTTTTTTCAAACTAAATATATATAGACTCTATATCCATTTTCTGTTTTAGATAAGATGAAGTATGAGAAATCTTAATTACTCTTGTGATTTGTTTACAAAAACAAAGTTTACCAGAGCGGCTAAAGCGGGGCCAACTGTCTTTGGGACTGGTCATCCATGTGCTTCGGTGAAAGTGTCTGTTTCTCTGCCGTGGTCTGTTAATGGAAGATCAATACAACACATTTTAGGCAAGTGAACCCTTACAAAAAACATTTACACAAACATTTTGTGTAAATGACTTTTTGACCCTTTGTTGCATTGACTACTCAATAATTAATACTGAATGGCTTCACACTTTGAGAAGATTTAAGTAATAAAATGAAAGGGCTGCTTGCCTTTGGTCTCCGAGAACAGCTCTTGCCCCGAAATATCTCTTCAGCTCAGTTTCTGGGTTGAGATTCCTAGAAATTTGTAACACAAAATTCATAACACAATGGTTACTTCTTATTGCTGACTTGAGGCCTCTTAAGCCACACACCAATGCTTATAGAAAAATAGTGTGCAGTGCCAAAACCGACATTGACTTTAAAGTACTACAAAATACAGTTTTGTTCGTACCTGTGTTCAACGTGAAGCACAGTTCTTCGGTCTGGGCCTCCGTAACTGTCACTTTGCAAACTATGACTATGAGAATGTTCCAAGTTTTCCAATATCAAATCAATGTTTGCATCTGCTGCCGTGTCCTGAAACCATGTACATGTAATTACAATGGAACATTATGACTTGAAAAATCTTCTCATATACCTGTCCATTTTCAGATGAGGCTTTATTCTTTTTCTTTTTCCTCTTTTTCTTTGCTTTATCTCCGGACTAAAGAGATATAAAATTATGTATGTGTAAGATTTACAGTCTGTAGGTGCTTGCTGCTTCATTACCTTTGATGCTGGGGCTTCATGACAAAACTCTTTCCTCTGCTGGTTTTTAGTGAGTTCATCTGTGTTTTCAGAAACATTGTTTTCATCAGGTGCGATTTTCTCTGCTTCAATGTCTTCATCGCATATCTATTAAAACAAACAGAAAGACAAAGGTGAATGACAATTGACAGAAGTAAAATAATTTATGGAAAAGCTCAGTAGTAATGATCAGTAGTCCTCTCTCTATTCTACTTTTTGAGTGTTTCACATTCCATAAATTAAAAAAAAAAAAAAATCAACTGGTGGCTAGAGAGATAAGATATTATAGCAAGTATTTGATGTCCTGTATGTGCGTGGCGTCTTCAAAACATCCTTCCACTTTATTTTGGTTTAAGTAAAGTTTATTCACGCTTGTGTTCGTGATAATTGCTTTGTAAAAAAAAAAAAACATTCGATACGCATTACAAAATACTTAGTCACGGCTTGTGTATATACTGATATCTGAAAGTATCCAATCGTGTTTGGGCTTTTATTACACGTGTACTGACTCCGTGTTATGTAAACTCTTTGAGCTAACAGCCTTCTTAGCATCGTCAAGTCGCCATAAAGATGAAAACGCCATGCCTTGTAATTACCACTTCATAAATGTTGCTGAAATTCTTCTGAGCCTTGTTCTTTGCTTTTCGGCGGCTGTTGGACAGAGAGGGAGCACTGGCCGAGTCTGAGTCCTCTTCAGCGGGCTCCTCAAAGCCGTGCTCTGCTGTCATGTCCCCGGGCCCAAGTGTCTCCTGGCCCCGCTGCTTCCCCTTCAGCCTCCGCAGAGCCCGAGTGGACATGATTCACACTAAAGCCTTTTAACTACTTACAAAGCCCCATAACCAAGCAAACAGGAAAAGCCCATGGGATATTATGGGATAGCCATGCATCGACACTGTTCTTCTGTGACAACGTGAATACAACTAGTGATCTCCTGCCAACCACTGCCCCCTATCGGCCAACCACGCACACGACAAATACGCACTCCTTATGTCTGGATCGATAATAGATCCATGGTCTGTATATACAATCCCCCAATCACAAAATTATCCTTCCAGAAGATGTATTAGGCTCACAACAATAATCATTTACATTTAGGTACACTGAGAATAAGTAACAAATGTACTTGTATACATGAACCATTTGATAAAAATAAATTAAACAATGAAACAGAAGTAACACTATAAAAAGATTATAAAAGGAATCACTTAAGATTTCAATCGTATTTAATAGTTGCAATGCCACAACTTAAATTACCCATAGCATTCACATATCCAAGCACTAAAACATGTATATAAAAAAAATTACATACTAGGAAGCTATATAGCTTTTAAATGAGGTTCAGAATTTCCTTCACTTTATCTAACCATGCTGTATTGTTGAGAGCATGTTAAACAAGAAGTGTAACAGGTTGATGTCTCAAACATACGCTGTATGGTCTGAAATGAGGAAGTGTTTCCACATTTTGAAATACTTCACTGGTCAACTGCAGGCAAGAGAAAAGTGCAAAAAGAAGTTCATTGTTCGTTAAGATCACATGTTTCTTTATCACAACAGGCCAAGATTTTTAACCAGTAACAATGGGAGCAGTATTGCTTCAGTTTACAAAGGGAAATTCTAATCTAATGAAACTGTCAATGTGAAAAAGAGGAAGTGGCCAGTCATCTAAAAATAAAAAAAATTAAATCATTGCATTAAAACCTCAAAAGACCTCAGTAGCATCATTTATATTAATCATTGTGGTCTTGTTACTCAAACAGTACAGCAAACATTTTACTTGATAAGATCCAATCTTTTGGCTGGTATTATGTTGATGGCATCAGTCTCCCCGCAATAGCAAACACAACATAATTATGATAGAAAATGACCCCAGTGAAGTTAGAGATGTTACTCTCTAACAGGGAGAGGGTTATCATAGGCAGCAGCCTCCAAGTCTTCCACTCTTTTCCTGCGCATCTCTGGAGGAGGCCGGGGCGGGGGGTTCGAGGGGGGACTTTTAATGCTCTCTGCTGTGGGTTTTGGGGATTGTATTCGAGGAAGAATTGGCTCCCAGTGTTCACCACGTATAGCTGCCTAAGTTTAAAAGAAAAAAAAACATTTCATTCTACCAGCACACAACATTTCTACAGTACGAGGTGGCAAATGTTAGTGTAGTATGTATATAGAAATACATACATCTTACACAATGTTACTGTTCACATAACATTCATATCATACATTTTGTATATCTCAAAAACATTGAATAATTAGCTGATTGTTTTGGCCTCATATCCATTTAATTTGGAAAATGTGTACAGTAGCTTATATAATGGATAAGAGAAATTGAATAAAAAGAATAATACTAAATATGTATAAGATACAAAGATATTAGGTCTGGAAGAGTTGAAGCACTTGGTCCTTTCATTGTGGGTCATGTCTCAACTGAACTACCAGTAATCACAATGCTCAAAGAGCATTAAACTCTTGCCTAACAAAAATCTTGCCTGTCCATAATAATTGATATCTATATGTTAACAAAAACTATAAAACTTACTCCCAGGTATATGAGACTTGCAATCCCGAGGCAGACACACCCAAGAACAGTAGACAGCATAAAGCCACCAGGAACACACAACCTGCGAGAAATTATAAACCATCCATCAGAACAGATTTGGCATTTAATTGGGCATGAAATAGGACCCACTTACGCTGCATGTAAAAAGGCTCGAACGTAGTAATTTCTGGTAAGTGGTCCAAAAGATTTAACACAGACAGTAAAGCAGTACTGGCCCCTAAAAAGCAAAGACACAATATTTGATGATTATTCTAATAAACATAGATGTGAACACAGCGACATACTCACGTCCTCTCCACACTTGTGCCTTTGGACCTCTTGCCTCTGGGATATTCAAGGAGACACACAAAGAATCCGGCAGCACTGCACTAATGTTAAGGTTTTCAAATATTTGCTGGCCACATTCTCTTGCGTTTAATAACTTTGTCCAATTAGCAGGAAACAAATGATTTTAAGCAGCACTTCAACCTTTAAGGATACACAGCATAAGCTGCAAACTCCCAGCCTCTGAATTGCCCTGCCACCCCCACGATACCACCTGTGAGGAGAACTGTAACATACACAAAACAAGAGGATCAGATTTCAGCTAAAAATAATAAATGAATAAATAACTTCAATTACACGCTCATTATTAATCAGGTATCACTCCAAGTTGCCCTGTTTTACACACACTACTCACTCAGTCCGGCAGCTAGAGCCTGCTCGTTGGCCCACATCGCCCACTCGATTGCGCCCATGCTAAAAGATCAGTGTCCACTCTTCAAACCAGTGAAGATCCACAAACAGCGATTGAAAATTAATGAAACGAGGAAGCAGGTTCACAAATGTGAGGTGTATTGTTACGTCATGCAGCGTGGGAGGGGCTATGGGCATTCCCACTTCCTCGTCACGTCCATAGAGCGCAGACAGGGCGGGGCTCCACTCCCACTTGTCACTCCAGGTAAACAAAGGGAGCACAAAGCTCTTGGATGTATTATAAAGAAAAAAATAACAGTTATGTCAGACACTACGAAGGCCCTTAAAAACTAAATTTTCACCACCTGACCCTTTATTATAATTTAATGTTTACATACCAAAAAGTTATCTTAAATTAAACAGCCTAATTATGTATTGTAATGTAAACTAAACATACTGTAACCACTACTTACAAAATGGGTATTTGGCTTCAGGGTGGAATTTCAGGATATTTTTGTCTTTTAATGTTGTTTTATGTCTGTATTTGTCTGTGCACACTGGAGACTTTTGCTAATGTATTCCAATGTGTTTTTTTTTTACTGCAAATGGCAAATAAACTGAATCTGAATCTGAGTTCAAATCCATGACAACATTCATATGTGAACATAATGTGTCCATCTCAGCAGTCCAAAGTTTGTTTTTTATTTTATTTGGTGTTGTTGAACTAGGAAACAGCTCTTGCATAACCAGCAAGACAGGTCACCCATTGAGCATGTTTGGGATGCTTCAGTTTAAATATCCAGCAACATTACATGACCATTGAAAAGCCATGAACATTCTCGAAGCCACAATAAACAACCTCATCAACTCTGAGGTGTAGCATGAGGGAAATTGTGGTAACACCAGATACAGACCGCATTGTCAGACACCCCCACAATAAACCAACCTGAATATCTGACTTTTTATTGACACCCCAGGGCACCTGTACCAATCAACATCTCGAATGTCTAGTCTCAACAAAGAACTGCTCACTGAGAGTCTAGACTGAGACATTCAGACCCAGGACTCTTACAAAGTCATACTGTAGCTCAAAACTGAGAAAGTCTAATTATTTTTTTCCTTTTTGCCAAAATGTAGGGAAAAAAAATCAGATTCATACCCGAAACATTACAATTAGTTCAAATTTATCTCATCCAACTAAAGGATTTAAATTATCAGTGGATTTTATCCTCTGGTCTATGCTAAATATACTGACTAACCAGTATGTTTACCCAACACAATGAATATAAATATTATGCAAAATGTGAATTTATTAAAACATCAAACGTCTTAAAATACAATGTCATACATTTTAAAAAGGGCTATCAAAAAATTATTATAATAATACACAAAACATTATGCATACACTTTATAGCAGTCTGGTTAAGACACTGCACAAATCACTGCACTCACTGATTTGAGTAAGAGTATGTATAAATTATTACCGGGACATTTATAAAATAAAATAAAACGATATCAACAAGCCTTCTTTGGCATCCCATCAAAGTCAAGAAGGTGCTGTGAAGGATCCTCTACAACACATGGGCCTGGTCCAGCCTAAAGAACATACATTAAACACAAGGGCATTGTTAAAAGAATTCAACTTTCAGAAATGATGATTGTTCAGATTTAAGTGTGAAGCATCTAAGTGTAAATTACTTTTTGTGCTTATTTACCTTAGTGCTAATAATATAACTTATTCTGTTTGGCATTGGATTCAAACCAATATCCTGCTTCAGTTCCTCAGAGAGAAATGTGTCATCCACTGGAAGACCTTTTATAAACCTGGATCAAAAACAAGAATGGATTAGTAATGGTAAAGAAACAACTGTTACAAAACAATGTAATTGCACCCACTTTCCACCATTGTTCTCAGAAGGAAAGACGTGTTGAACAACTTGAACAAACTCCGGAACGTGCTGCTCGAGCATGAAGATTACAGCGTTGGGACCAGCATCAAATGTGTATCCTGCCTAAAAAAAACAAAGGTAAATTTCCAGTGATAAATACTATATAAAAATGTATGGATAAGCAAGAAGAAAATGATTTACCCTCGTCTCCCCATAGTGACTGTTGTAACGATGAACTACGTTGACAATTTGCTGGGAGACACTGTTTAAGTAGAATATTGGAGGATACGTATCAAGACAAGTTGCATGAAACTGGTTGCTGTCTTTCATTGTCAACTCAGCAAAGTGAGAGAAATCTTTCTGATGAACAGCTTCAATCATTTCTGTCATTCTCTTTGGAACAATAGTCTGTGCCCGATGCTGAAAAACAATGAACAACTATTTATCAAACATATTCCTAGATTTGAGTATTTTCAAAAATTCTGATGAGTACCTTCAACAATAAACTTGTTTTTACACTGGTTTGCATTCCTGAGGTGCTACCTATTGGCTTCCGATCGGCACTTACCTGCAAAAATGTCACATGATTTATCGTTCTATTTATTCTTCGTTTGCAAAGACTTGAATGACTTACAACAAGCACAAGAACTCTGAGTTCAGGCCAGTGGGACTCTGGCACCACCTGCTGGGCCAAACTGTCTTTTCCGTTGTCTTGCTCCCCAAGGACCCACTGTACAAATCCTCCATACATACTTCTACAAGCACTGCCAGAACCTTGTCGAGCAATTGCAGATAGCTCCCCTTCCACACCGAACACACGTGCCAGAGTGTAAACTACAAAGCAGAGAAAAAGGACAAAAATCTATTATGAATCTGGTGGTGGTCGACAATGCACTTCCAGTCTGCCCCAAGGCAGCTGTTACTACAACAACAGAAAACGTGAACTAATACTTTACATGTCATGAGTAGTAGTGCATCATTCTTTTTCATATTCTCTATTACTATATGACTTGGACCGTACGCGCGCTCTGATTGGCTGATTACCGGTCTGATATTTTCCCATCTCAGACCGTTACCATGCCAATTGGTCCGAACAGCGGGTATCACATTTGAGATCTTTCCTCGGACCGTTACCATGACAATCTGTCCACAGCGCGTATCACACAAAACCAAGTTGGACATGAACATACTTCACAAATATCTCAAAAGCATTGGTAAAGACGCAGACGAGAGTCATATGATAAAACATATATTAACTGTGCTTGCTCGGTCTGTACAGAGAAATATCAGACCTTGGCCTTTTTGCACAGACCTCGCCACGGCTCGGTCTGTACATTAAGGCTGCGGTTTGATATTTCCCAATACAGACCTCGCGCTCGGTTAATAAGCCGTTAATATTATATTAAAATGAAACCCTCTGAATTTATAATGTTACATCTTTATTTTTATAGTCAAGGTAACATTGTAATAAAACATACCATACTTTAAATTAAAATACTTACCCAAACATGCATATCCAGCAGCTGATGAAGCAAGCCCAGCAGCTGTTGGAAAATTATTGATGGAGCAAATATGTACTTTGTGAGACAAAGCAGCTGCATCAAAATCAGGGTTGACATTATTTCGTCTTTTCCTTGCCAGTCGTCGAACTGAATAGATTCAAGAGAAAAAAAACAAATATCAACCACATACAAACATTTTATCTTTTTGAAAGTAAATTCAATAGTGAGTCAACTGTAACTTACTTTCCCTAAGACATGACTGCAGTCTAGGATGGCTTATGTCCTCCTCATTTCCATTCAGCCACAGCCGGTCCTCCTCAAAGGATCTACTTATAGCAACTGTGGTGGTTGTTTTAAGCTTAACGAGAAACAAAATGAGCCACATGAAATTTGGCCAACAAATATGCACTGTATGTCGAATAGAATGGCACTCATGTTCTCAATCACAGCAATACCTGATCTTGGTGCAAAGTGACGCTCAAAGATGAATTTATAGGTAGAATTAGATCTTCATTTCTCTTGCCCCCTAACACAATAACAAGATAAAAAGTAAACGGGACAATTATTTATATATTTATGGGCAATGAAACAATACATGCTCCTAAACGAGAGGGTGCAGGTTATTAGCAGACAAGGATAAGATTAGCTACTCACAGTATTTGATGACAGCAATGTTGACAGGAGCAGTGCATGTAACCATGCCAGTCTGCAGTGAATTATCATCGCTCATAGTTTTCGGAGGTTCGGAGGCCTAAAAGAAGTGTATGAATGTGTTGAGGCCGGAATAAAGTGTTCGACGGGACGTCCTTCACATAGTTAGCAACACGTTTATACAAAACCCTGCACGGCAGCGTCTCATGTGTACATGCTTTGTGATTGGCTCTCAGGGATCATGTGGTCTTAATTTACACCAATCAGAACACGAGCTCTTGACACACAACGTAAGCCCAGCGAATCACTCCCCTCAGACCACGGTCGTGCGAATGCAGAGCAGTCCAACCCATTATGATCCAAAAACACAATATTTAATGTATACTACCTCTTCTACCAATGTGTTTATACATTGATACCATGAAAAGAGCGAGGAATAAAGAAGCAATCATACCATCAAAATATCGAGGATTTAAATAAAACTGTTGTAATTATAATTTCAATGGCAGAAAATAATATTTTAATGCCCCAACTTTTGCTTTTGAAGAGAGAATTCAGTTAGGAACACGAGCACATTTGATAAGGGCTTCCAGTTTTTAAATACAAAACATTTAATGATCTGATGACAACAGCAGTAAGAGTGCTCTGAACATTAAGAGCTGCTTTTACATCTTCTCTTCAACAGTTCTTCACATAGTTGCTTCTAGGTAAATTAAGATACATCATCTTAGTGTTCATGTTTTAATATTTTTATTGACATGTAAACTCTGCCCTTTATCAGGACACAATTGTTTGAACCTCAAATAGTAAAAAAGCAACCGTGAGGAAATTGAGTATGAATGATAACGAGCAACATGAAAAAAAAAAAAAAGAACGCCCTGTAACTGTCAACTGCATTATTTGGACAGCCTTTGTTGTTGGTGGTGTGGTCCACGAACAGTAGCCATCATTGCAGGAGCTTAAAGAAACTAGCTGCTCCAACTGCTAACAATAGTCCCAGCAGAACAAATGCATGTTTTGTCGCTCCACATCTTGGGTCAATAATCATCTTCATCATCATCCGAGTCCATCACTCTCCGCCTGTTAAACTGTTGGGCATAATAACTAATGTTAACACTGTTTAAAAAGACAAAACACACAAAACAGCCACAATGAACTCACTTTGACAGTAGTCTTTTTCTCTGTTTGCTGACTAACTTTTTCTAAAATCTCGATTAAACCAGATTCTGAAATCTGCACAAAAGGGAAATACATTGTTATAATCACATAAGGCCATATCCGGAAGAAAAAAAATGTGTTTACCTTTCCACCTAACTGCCCCATACGAGCCATTTGAATGAGATAGTTCTCTACTGCTGTTGCCTTCTCTGGTTTTACTAATGCAAGGTTACTCACTGAAACAAAAGAAAAAACGTTGAATGCACTCTTCTTTAGAAACAATAATAGTAATAATAATAATACATTTCAATGCGCCTTTATTGACACTCAAGGTTGCCTTACATATCATGTGCATTTAACAATATTAAAACAACAAATACAGATCAATATACAATCAGCCTGAACAGATGATGGTGTAGTTATGGTGTGAGCGAATAGGCTTGTGGAAACATATGTTTTATTTGATTGTAATATATACACATTAGGGATACACGATACAGGGTTCAGTAATCATGCTTGCAGCTACACTTGTAACTTTACTTGTGCCTGCATTGTAGCTTTGTGAAATTGAAAAACCGAATCCATCTAGAAATTATGCCCATTTGTCGAGTATAAGGGCAGTTCTGCTGTCTGTTTACAAAGTAATGCTAGGTAGGATTTTACTATATGCTGAAGTATTGGCCAATTATTGACAAATGATTCCAAACATTGATTGAAGAGAGCATTTACATTGGGTTCTAAAAATGTTATAGCATAGCAATGTCCATACTGCTCAAAATGTGAAGCAGCATCCCACCGCCCCTACCACGCCGCAAACTTGGTGTGTAGGATGTAGGAGTTTACATGCAACTGTTGCATGTAAACTGGCCGCAACACGTGATCCGATGGGAACACATTCAAGTTTTCCCCCGCAGAGGGACACAGGGACACAAGCCTGTCAAAGCAGGAACTGAAAGACGCTCAAAAACAGCCCAGGACATGGTTTAGTCCTGATATAGCACCATTTCCTTACGTTTTTCTGCATCACAGGGCAGTATGTCAAATTGACTAAACTCATGGCGCTGAATTTTAGTGAAACTGCCTCCAAGTTGCAATAACGCTGCGTCGGTGGAGGGAACACAGCACAACTGTAAGTGAAAATGCTACATGGAGTTGTAATAACTTAATAAATGGCTTTTTCCATTTTCAAAGTAAGCTTTTATATATACAAAATAGGGCTGTCAAAATTATCGCGTTAACGCACGTTAATAAAAAAAAAAATCATTAATCGCATTAAAAAATGACGCTTTTAACGGCCATACATCCAATAATAACACTCAGAATGGCGCAGACATATGCGTGATGGCGACAGCGCAGGTAGGCCCTCTGGGAATTCAAGTTAAAAAAGAATAGGCGCGTGACCGCGGGCACTTGCGGCTGTTCGCTATGAACTGAACGAGAGGTCGCATCCTCCGTGGACGCGGCAAACGGCGCCGCCGTAACGTGAAAGACCATCCACACACGCACAGATCTATTCTCTGCTTGTTGTGTGCTTTGCGTAACCTGTGCGTAATACAACTATGAAGCTGAACTATGGAGCCAGGAAGTATCCATGTCTCCTCCCGCTTCAAAACTACACTCGCTAAATTAAAGCTGGGGTGCCTAGTTTTTCCACAGCCTTTATGAGACAGAGAAAAAAAAGAAAGAGGCTTTAGCTGAAGCGGAATATGTCGAGCTGAAAAGTGTCTACTACAGAAAGACAGAATGTTAATAATGTTAATGCCATTTTATGTGGATTTAGTGTTATAATAAACAAATACAGCACATATGTTCACTATGTTGTCATTTATCTTTCCATTCAAACAACCATTTACGGAAAAATATGGCATCATTTTGTTGATAGTTCGAAATGCGATTAATTACGATTAATTCATTTTAGAGGCTGTAATTAACTTTTAATCGTAAATCTTAATCATTAGACAGTCCTAACAGAAGATCAATCAAAAGTATTCATTCTTATCTGTAATATGAAAATATACATTTTTGTATTGTATACAAATTATCAGTAGGTACTGAATTTTAAGTTCTCATACGGGTATCGGTTTTGGAAAAGTGGCATTGGTGAATCTCTAATGCATATCAATTAAAATTGTTCGATAAATTAAATCAATTAAATTACAACCACGTAAAAACACTTACATCTGGCACGAGCAGGCTGATCAAGAACTTGCGCCAGTATAGTATTTCTCATCTCAGCCTCCCTGCAATAGATATAGTTTTAGAACATGAGACATTACAGCTTATTACAAATACATGTTCAAACATACCTCTGTTTTGCCTCCTTGCCTTGCTGGGCGTTGGATCCCTCCTGAAAAATAGAAGATGGTAGTCAAGTAAAGCCTATCTTGGGAGTGAAAAAGTCTTGTCGAGATGACCATTGACACCTGTTACTAATGTTATAGCGTTGCTATATTTTTAACCTTTAACATGTTTGCACACTTCATGCCTTTTTGCTTAATCTGAGTGATACTATCTATGCCAAATGTTAATTTCTCCATTGTGAGATCAATAAGTTCATCTCATCTTTTCTTATTACTATAGCTTTCTAACAACCATATATTTATACTTGTAATTGTAGAAAATCGAATTCAATTAAAAATGACAAATAAGAAAAAAAGTGTAATAACGGTTCCACAATACATCTATATAAATTAATACATTTCTACAAATTCTACAAGCTAAACACACTGCTGCTATTGTAGCAGACAGGACTTATTATATGCGTTTATATATTGTGCCAAGGGCTTCCTGATGGGATAGTGTCCAGTGATGTAGTTTTGTAGATTTGTATGAATTTCTGAGAAGCAAAAAAAGGGACAAAAAAAAATGTATATAGTAATATCATACTTAACAAAGCCATATACCAGCCATCTCCACTGTCATATTATTTATAGTCTAATCTTTCTATAGAGGTAGCTAATGGTATGAAACGGAGTGTGCTACTATAAAAAAAACATATGAGGCAATGAATACTAACTAAGTTGTAAGTTAAACACTCGAGAATAAATCAGTAACAGTTTTGTCTGCAGTGAAGCTAGCATCTAGCTTTAGCATTAGCACTGAGAGCTCAGCATCTCCTTATAAGGCGGACACGTTTTCCAAGCCCTGCTTTCCTCACCCCGTGCTTAGCCTGAAGCTCCGCCATTCTTTGCCGCCTAATTGCTTCCAATTCTTCGTCTGCCATTATTATGTTCGCCAAAACAAAGTTAACAGAAATACAACTCTGCAAAGATGGTTATTGTTCACTGAAGTTCAGCAGGCACCAGGCAAGGCCCATCGGATGACTAGCTGATCTCAGATAAAGAGAGCGCAGATTGAGGTAATCGAGCTCAGAGTGCGTAAATAAATGGGGTGGGGTCATGGATATAATAACTGGATAGGGTATGTATTACTAGTATGCACAATAGAAGGCCATGGCCTATGTTGTAGTACAAAAACAAGATAAAATAGAAGTACAAGACACACAATGTTCTTTGATTGTATATCTGCTACGATTGTGTATCCGTTGTTTTAGCTGACTGACGCCTGGGTTTGGCTCTTTCATGATGACGCAAATTCCAATATATAATATTTCCCTGTTTATTGTTCTGCCTGAATCTACCACCTGTTGTGAATAAACTTCCAGGTTGCTCTGGTGTGCAAAGATCCCTGCCTATGCGTCTGATTTTCGACACTAGCTTATAGCTGTCCCGCCCAAGGGCACAGGGGGCGCCCGTGGTACTGCAAACTAAATTCACGAGGGCCACCCAGAAAAAAGTCCCATAGAACTCAATGTAAATTAAACCAGCTCGACCTCAGCTGACAGAGAACCTACAGCTTTCAGAAATATCGGATTTTGTGGGGATTTTTGTGTCCCTTGTCATCCTGAACTTTTATTCTTCTTAAATGCTTTTGTTTTCTTTAAATCCACACTTTACTGCCAAAAACTCTGCTCCTTTCCTTCCCGCTCAGACTCAGCTATGCTGCTGCTCTGATCAGCAGCTCTGATTGGTCAGAGCGCAGCCAGCCCCTCTGTGCACGTGCATGAAAGCCACACACGCGTATTTGGCGCAACGCATCATGGGAGCTCGTCCACTGCGCAGAACCGGGAGGACCAGACGATGCCCAAATATAGGCGAGTTCTGCTAATCTCCCGGTCTCTGTGAAGTGCCATGCGCTACTGAGCGCAAGCCATTCATTGGAATAGCCATCTTGGATCACCGGGGCTTGGGTGGGGTAGGACCAGTGGGGGCGGGTCCCAGCTCAAAAGTGGCCAAAATGACGTGCGCTGACATACTTGCAATACCACCCCGGGCCGATGGGGGTGGACCCAGAAGAAGAATTAGCCAATGCTAACATTTAGCATTGGCCATTTTGGATAGCTTCAGTAGAGCACATTTTTTGGCCCATTAGTTAGAACAGCGGAGATAGGCGTGACTCTGTCCGTCAATATATACAGTCTATGGGTAGGACCATGGATCTATTAAACTCTATGGGTGAGACCATGGATCTATTATAATATCGGGTGGGACCATAGGCCGGGATGGAAAATGAATTTATCATATTCTAAAAATACTGCAGATTTTATAGAATGTCGTCCATGCATTCTGTGTTTATTTTAAGTTTGTATATATTGAATACAATCACATTTGCAGGACGTAAAAAAGAAAAAAACAAGATTCAAACAAGTTAGCTAGTGCGAATTTTCTTATATGGGCAAATGCAAAAAAAGGCATTTGCGCATGTGTTAGTCCGCACCAGCCCCATTCATTTAACGAGTGCCTATTGAAGTCCACATTGACACACATCTGGAATGTTGCTTTGGGCCAAGAGCCGACTTTTGGACCATCCTGTAAAACCGTTGTCGAAAGCATTGGATAATTCTCTTTCTGGGTCCACTCCCACTGGCCCGGAGTGGTTTTGCAAGTATGTGCATGCTCATGGGCGTTTTTGAGCCGGATCCTGCTCCCACTGGTTGCGGCAAAGGCAATTGTTTTGCTAAGATTCCTCCAGGAATGAAGGCATCTGATTGGCAACATTGATATATAAACACTTGGATCACAGAGTTGGAGCAAAACTTTGTCCATGAGCCCTTCCCTAATGAGCTTTATCTAACTAGCTGGTTAGAAATGTCCATATATTTAGAGTCTATGGGTGGGGCACTGGAAATATTATAGTTGATGATCTGTTATATGTTGAAACAATAAAAAAAAACTTTGGTTACCACACAGATGCATAAAAGTCAAGAGATGTTTTCAAATCAAGGTATTATATCACACTGTTTTAATCACATTGGTCTAAGTATTATTTTCAATATGTTGACTGTTTCAGTACAAAGAAAGGTTTTTGTTGTTCCGCACAAGTAACTTTTGTATTGAGTTGCTTCAAAAAGGAATACACTATTGAAATGTATTTCAAAAGTAACTGAGTTAACTAAGTAAGTAAGTTACTCCCATTGACAATGTTTTCTTTTGTTGCTTTTTATTTGTTTTAGAACAACATTTCTGACAAGAAGTAGCATGTTTGACAAAGAGTCTAGCTTCCTCTGTATGTGCTGTATGAGAAGCGACTCATTAACAGTGGGATGTGATACTTCTGTCCAGGGTCTTGAATGGTGAAGACAATCTGAAACATAGCAGCAATGATCAATCAATGAACAGTACACAATTCTTAGCAAACTTAAGAATAATACCTCAACATAAGGGTAAAATGATGTTTCTCCAACACTTTCCCAGTACTGCTGAGTCTCAAATCTTAACTTGTACACACCAGATGTGAACAATTCTCTTGTAATCAGTCCTGGGCATCGCCCGTCTGCATTAGTGATTCTGCAAAAAAGAAAACAAAATATTAACCATAATCATAAACTAAACGGCCTCTTTTGTTGTTGTTTTTTCTGTTCTGCCACATGTTTTGTTTCTAAATATTCTTGTGTGGCATTGAACATTCAACTCATTCTTTTTAAAATGACAGCTCTTGAGTGGATATCACCTGCCATGGAGATAGATTAGTTTAACATTATATTCTGGGTTTAGTGGTGGAAGTGAGATGAGACAAAAATCTCCAAAGATGAGCCCAGATTGCAATGTTATTCATCAGGATTTTGTTAGGGTTCAAGCAAGTAGCAAAGCAAATAGTGACTCCTCAGACAATAACAGGTTATTGTAATAATCCTCTAATTACATATGTTATTTTACCCAGTTGTAACTAAGCTCCAAATATCAGATGAAGCGTCTTGATGATAAAGACTTAGAGACATATTTGAACCAGGAATCCCTAGGGCAACGTTGAGCACATGCGTTGAGAGGGGGCTCACTGGACCAGCCATTGGTGTCACCTGTCAGCAGAACGTTTAAAAGCAGTAATTAGGTGAGCCAATTATTCCAATTTTTTGAAATCCTTATAGAAAGTTGTAGTGTACCTTGTCTTCAGGGAGGATATGTCCTTTGAGCTGCTGCAGTCTTTGAGCACTCATTTGTCTGGTATGACAACTTCAGACTGAGAACTTGTTTTAAATCCAGATTTCATGGTTCACTGTAACATTCAGATTCTGATCGCTCACCACATGATGTTAGAGACTGTCATATGCTCAGTACTGCAAACCGTAGCTGAATGTGTTGTAGCTCTTTTCGTCACAGTGTGCACTTTGATCTTTTGTTGATGTGTGATCAGTCTGCTGCTTCTGGCCTAAAACCAATATCGAAAGAACAAAAAAAAACTATGTGCAGGAGGAAAGTTGGGGAGACAAAGGGGGACATAATTTTGTGACATGTAATAAAATAAAAGACATTTGGACTGATGTCATGATAAATACAAAACGAGTATCTTGAGGGAGGAATACCGTTTCTGGATAATTCAATTGACCACTGTCAAACTAATTATCAAAACATTGGAGCAACCAATCCCCTAAATCAATGTGAACCCAACAAATAATGACAGTAGAAGTTGCACTGGAGGATGACTAAATGAGCCAATAAATCACATCCATAAAATAATATTTTTATTATTTTATCAAATGTACTTCATGCATCAGTGGTGCCTTGATGCTTCAGCAGGAGCTTCAGGCAATGTGGGGTTAAATGACTTGCCCAAGGACACAACAACAGCAGACATTAATAGGAGCAGTTGGAGTTGGTTCCTTGTGTGGCATGTTTGTGTATGCACACCTTTAAATGTGTGCATAGAACACATTTTAAGATAACTTAAAATGCACTTAGGGTAATGTTCCAAGAGGAATTTATGGAGGAGACACCTGTTTTGTTTTACTTTTTAAAACTCACTCTTATCTACGCTCAAACTATTATCTGGACTTAAACATGAAACTGGTCTGTGTGTTATGTTTAAGGTAAGGCCCATAACTATGGAGCTATTATTGTTTCAATAATATTTGTGTGTGCGTAAAAAGATTTGTGCGTGCGTAACCAGATTTGTGCGTGCGTAACCAGATTTGTGTGTGCGTAACCAGATTTGTGCGTGCGTAACCAGATTTGTGTGTGTGTAAAAGAAATATTTGTGCGTGTGTAAATAGATTTGTATGTACGTATCAAGATTTGTGTGTGCGTAAAAAGATTTGTGTGTGCGTAGAAAGATTTGTGTGTGCGTAGAAAGATTTGTGTGTGTGTAAAGGAAAAAAAAAGTACGTTTTACACACAAGTTTTTTTTTTACACACGAATCTTTTGACGCAGTCCTGCCTTCGCAGATTCGCAAGTGTAACTTGGACTGTGTGCGTGCGTAAACAGATTTGTGTGTGTGTAATTTGACATTTGTATCTGTAACAGAACAATCTGTGTGTAAATAACCGCGTTGTACAAAGAGAAGAACGGGAAAAAGCCTAAGTGCTACGCACAGGCTCTGTTTTACACACGAATCTCTTTTTGACACACCTCTGCCGCCAAGCGTGTGTCAAAAAGATTTGTAAGTGTAATGTGGTTGTTCTAGCAGTACACCAGCAGATGGTGCTGTTGTAGCTGGTTATTACCTACACGCAAGCAAACCAACAAGTGTAGATAGAGAAAACCGAAGGATTTAAGAAGAAGAAAAGTTCAGGATGACAAGGAACACTAAAATTCCCACAAAATCCGACCTTTATGAAAGCTGTAGGTTATCTGTCAGCTGTTTTAGTTTACTTTGAGTTCTATGGGGAAAATTTCTGTGTAGCCAACGTGAATTTAGTCTGCAGTACGTGAGAATCCTTCAGCTCCAAGCTAGTAACACCCTATCCAGTTATTATAATAGATCCATGTATCATACAGTGGTGTGAATGACAGGATTTTGAAAATAGGAAAAAAATATCATAAACAGCTGCGGTAGTGTGTCTTGTCAAGGCAGTAGGTTTTGGTTTGCTTGCGTGTAGGTAATAACCAGCTACAACAGCACCATCTGCTGGTGTACTGCTAGAACAACCACATTACACTTACAAATCTTTTTGACACACGCTTGGCGGCAGAGGGGTGTCAAAAAGAGATTCGTGTGTAAAACAGAGCCTGTGCGTAGCACTTAGGCTTTTTTCGTTCTTCTCTTTGTACAACGCGGTTATTTACACACAGATTGTTCTGCTACAGATACAAATGTCAAATTACACACACACAAATCTGTTTACGCACGCACACAGTCCAAGTTACACTTGCGAATCTGCGAAGGCAGGACTGCGTCAAAAGATTCGTGTGTAAAAAAAAAACTTGTGTGTAAAACGTACTTTTTTTTTTCTTTACACACACACAAATCTTTCTACGCACACACAAATCTTTTTACGCACACACAAATCTTTTTACGCACACACAAATCTTGATACGTACATACAAATCTATTTACACACGCACAAATATTTCTTTTACACACACACAAATCTGGTTACGCACGCACAAATCTGGTTACGCACACACAAATCTGGGTACGCACACACAAATCTGGTTACGCACGCACAAATCTTTTTACGCACACACAAATATTATTGAAACAATAATAGCTCCATACCAAACAAATTGTGAATAAGCATGGATCTATTATATTAACTAGATAGGGTATTACTAGCTTGTAGCTGAATAACTCATGTGCTCAGGGGATTCTCGCGGTACTGCAGACTGAACCAGACTAAATTCACGTGGGCTACCCAGAAATTTTCCCCATAAAACTCAATGCTTATTTAAACAGCTCAACCTCAGCTGACAGAGAACCTACAGCTTTAATAAAGGTCGGATTTTGTGGGGATTTTAGTGTCCCTTGTCATCCTGAACTTTTTTTCTTCTTAAATCCTTCGGTTTTGTTTAAATCCACACTTTAGTGCCACAAACTCTGCTTGTCTGGCTCTCGCTCTAACTCCCGCTCTGATGAACTGCTCTGATTGGTCAGAGCGCGGCAGAGCCCCTCTGTGCACGTGCTTGCGAATAAGCCGCTCTGTAGGTCCTGTTGATTTATATGATATATGTACATCTGATTGGACTGAAGTCAGTGCTTCACCAATCGCCAACCTCACCTCACGTGACTGGCGGGTGTTGGTGTTTAGTGCTTACAGCACACAGAGAAAGATAGAGTGAGGAGGACTCCAACAGAAAAACAGCCCTTTCCAGCGGGAAATAATGGCATTATTTCAAACTCACTGAGGTTAAAGGTAAAAATGTGCACGTCGAGTGCACATTATGTTCCAGAACGAAAGAAAAAAGCAACACAATAGTTACTTTTACTCGTAACTAGTTACTTTTATAGTGGAGTAACTCAGTTAGTAACTCAGTTACTTTATTTTTCAACACCTCTCTGCAGTCATGTCCCGGCCTGCTTCAAATCCTCCATCATTGTCCCCGTCCCGAAGAAGCCCAGGATCACAGGACTCAACGACTACAGACCTCTAGCACTTACGTCTGTCGTCATGAAGTCATTTGAACGCCTGGTTCTCTCCCATCTCAAGTCCCTCACCTCCCCCCTCCTAGACCCCCTGCAGTTCGCCCTACAGAGCCAACAGATCTGTAGACGACGCCATTAACCTGGCCCTCCACCACATCCTACAGCACCTGGACTCCCCGGGGACCTACGCCAGGGTCCTGTTCGTGGACTTCAGCTCTGCCTTCAACACAATCCTGCCATCCCTGCTCCAGGACAAGCTCTCCCAGCTCAACGTGCCCGATTCAACCTGCAGGTGGATCACTGACTTCCTGTGACGGACAGGAAGCAGCGAGTGCGTCTGGGGAAGAATGTCTCGGACTCTCGGATTATAAATACAGGAGCCCCACAGGGCTGTGTTCTTTCTCCCCTGCTCTTCTCCCTGTACACCAACCACTGCACCTCCAGCCACGACTCCGTGAAGCTGATCAAGTTCGCGGACGACACCACCCTCATTGGACTCATCTCCAACAACGATGAGTCCGCCTACAGGAGGGAGGTGGACCGGCTGGTGTCCTGGTGCAGTGGTAACAACCTGGAGCTGAACGCCCAGAAGACAGTGGAGATGATTGTGGACTTCAGGAAGAGCACTGTCCCCCCGCCCCCACCCTCCGTGATGGACTCCCCCATCACCTCTGTGGAGTCCTTCCGTTTCCTGGGCACCACCATCACCCAGGACCTCAAGTGGGAGCCGACCATCAGCTCCCTCATCAAGAAGGCCCAGCAGAGGATGTACTTCCTGCGGCAGCTCAGGAAAGCCAAGCTGCCTGCACAGATGTTGGTGCAGTTCTACACGGCCATCATCGAGTCCATCCTCACCTCCTCCGTCACCGTGTGGTTCGCTGGAGCCACAGTCAGGGACAAGCAGAGACTACAGCGCATTGTGCGCTCTGCAGCGGAAGTGATCGGCCGCAGCCTTCCATCGCTGCAGGACCTGTACGTCGCCCGAGCTCGAGGCCTGGCTGGTCGTATCACAGCCGACCCCTCTCACCCTGCACATGGACTATTCCAACCACTCCCCTCAGGCAGGAAGCTGCGGTCCATCAGGACTAGAACCTCCCGCCACAAGAACAGTTTCTTCCCCTCTGCTGTTGGACTCTTGAACACTTCTTAACCTGTCCCCCCGCCCTTTATAATGTCACTTTACTGCCCATCATACGTCACTTTACTTCACTGTACTGCTGTCACCTTACATTGTGTGCACCATGTGCACTTGTATATTGTAAATAGTAACTGTAACTCTATTTTAAATTTAAATTTATTCTTTAGAAGTGTTTTTTATTCTTATTGTTATTATCTCTTTCTGACTGTTGCACTGAGCCAAAGCAATTTCCAAGTCTGTGACCTCCTGTTACTTACGTGGCAATAAAAATGATTCTGATTCTGATTATGGGAGAGGTACCTAGTAACAATAACTAATTACTTTTTCAAAGTAACGTGCCCACACTGTTCTCTATCTCTACCAGATGTAACTGGTTTATATATATATTTTTTACAATTCCTGGTTGTATTTTTTTTCAAAATGTAATTTTGTGTGAATGTTATTATTTTGACGTTTTATTTTGAAGTTCCCGGAAGCGCTGCTCCCCTGTATTTTATTTTGGTACCCAACATTCCCTCTCAAAGCCGCGTTGTATGCTTCAGAGGGTGAGTCCTGTCTCTGTGAAAAAGACATAATTTCAATCATTTAGCCTTATTTTCCGCAATTTTTACTAAGATATGTTTAGTAGGAAATGTATTAGGATGATGCAATGAACGTACTTTAGCACATTTTCTGGCGCACATTTTTCGTTTTTCTGTTCTTTTATTTAGCTAGCTTACCATGTGCTCAAGTCTATTGCCATGCTCACGCGCCGTTTTCATCCCGTAGGAGGAGCCAGTGTGTCTGCTGTGACTAAAAATGTATATTTTTGGTCTGTCACAGGTATGATTAATCTATTTCTATGTGAATAATGTTTTAATTTGTGCATTTGTACTTATTACTGTAAACATTTGAAAATCTTGTTACAATATTAGTATTTGCTCCCCTCCCCCTCAAAAAGCCACGCTGTATGCTTCAGAGGGGGGAGCCAGTGTGTCGCTGTGACACACAGGTCTGAGTTGACTCCACACTGTGTCCTGTACGCATACGGCTCATGGACGAGATTGCAGCCGTAGCCGTTACACAAGCCACGCACTCATCAGCCTCTTCGTACAGGTCAGTCATTGCCTTACTTTAGCAATCAGTCATCGGGCATAATGTTGCATGTGTTGATTAAGGCTTACTCATAGCTGCTCAGCCAGCTCTCCCACACTTCCACGTTGGGAGTGCGCGCACTTGGTGCGCAGTGAAGATACAAGGCTCACACCGGGTATGCTCATTGTCCAGCTTTTAGCTGGTCATCTGACTACAGCGTACATTAAATTCACCCCAGACCCAGAGCTGTTGTGGGACCACGCCGCCTATCCACTGTGGCCCTCATCCTCCTGCTGCTCCCGTGCGCACTATTGCTGGCCGGTAAGACACCAACATTACTAGACAATGTAAATCAAATGTAGTTGATATAGCACCCTGGTTTTATATAGCGCTTTTCTGGACACTCGAAGACCCTACTTCACATGTCATGTACAGTGGTGATAAACTACTATTGTAGCCACAGCTGCCCCGGGGCACACTGATAGAAAAACAAGGCAACTAGTTAATATGGGCCAAAGCCCACCACCATAACCATTCACACATACAGCAGACTGATTCTAGATGTCTTACCTAAGCACAAGACAGCTGCATAGTTTCGTAAGATTCATCTAGTCTTAGTATAATTAAAAGAGTTGGGTTCTTCTAATACAGACAATATGAAGTTGTCATTACCTTGACATGTTTCGACGGATAACTTCAGTCTTCCTCAGAAGCGTCTCGCACCGTCACACATGACGTGCCTTTATCAGCGGCCGCAGCCATCCCAGCCAACCTTTGGTTTACCGGGCTGAGTGCGCCCTCTGCCGGTGAGTGGTGGTCGCTGGAGGAGTGGATCCCATGTACAGGAGAGTTGGTACCGGTACACGCCCTCGTCGCGGCTATAGGTGCTTTCACACCAAACTGGAACGCTGACGCCTCGCGCACCAGACGCACATTCTCTAATTTTCAGACGCAGGGCGGGTCTTCAAATCAGAAGTCCTGGCCTACAGTGGCGCGCACCGAAAGTGGCGGAAGTAGCGGGCGGGCTTTGATGCTAACAGAGTTAAGCTAGCTGCTTTTTGTGAAAAGTTCTTCTCCAATAATGCAGCTCTGCAGCGTCTCTGTGTCCAGAGACCTTCCAGAGACTTTATATAACAGTAGTATGTGTTCACGGAGGTGCGCCATACGTTTATTTTATTATTAAACGGTACTTCCGCATTGGCGAACACGCTTGAAGCAGTTGCATAAAGTCACGGGAGCATGAAAACGCATATGTTCACAAGCACTATGTCCCCCATTGTCAACCCTGGTTTAGTCCTGGTGTAGCTCCGGTTTTGGCTGTCTACGAGTATTTTCAGTCTGCTCGCTCAGACCACTAATGTCCCCGTGACCACTTTGCGGCTCTCTGATTGGTCGCTGCACAAGCGTCTCGAGGAAACGTTTAGCAATATTTATCTCCTGCTTGCATCGATTTTACGCTCCTGCGCCTCTGCCACGCAGTCCGTGCGTGCATCCCGAGACGCACATGCAGTTCGACGTTCGAACGCGCATCACCATTGGCTTTGCATTGAAAGTCGACGCAACGAATGATCCGGTGTGAAAGCACCATCTCCAGGACAGGAAGACAAGCAAGAGGACAACCTAATATAGGACCACTGCAAACGTAGTAACCACTTTATGGACTGGGACAATACAAGAATCATAAAGCAAGAACCCAACAAATATAAACGATGGATCAAAGAAGCAATAGAAATCCGGAAACGGGGCGCAAACATGAATAGCGACGAGGGCGCGTACCAACTCTCACGTACATGGGATCCATTTCTCCAGCGACCACCACTCGCTGGCAGAGGGCGCAGTCAGCCCGGTAAACCACATAGGTTGGCTGGGTTCACTGCGAATGGGAACAGCACCTGATAAAGGCATGTCATGTGTGACGTCGCAAGCATGGATCTGTTATGATAAGGGTTGCGAGATGCTTCTGAGGAAGACGAAAGTTATCCGTTGAAACCATGGACCTACTAGGTCAAAACATGTCAAGGTAATGATAACATCACAAAACCTTATATTGTCTGGTATAGAAGAACCCAATACTTTTAAAGACAACTGCAGTCGTCCCACTGTGTTACCTGGTGTGCCCGAAGGTCTCTCATCACAGTACTAATGAGAGACCACTATTTAGCTTTAGAGGTTTGATGGGCTCTGGCTTTCACCCGCAGTTATGCACAAACCATTTGTTTCAGATTTACTTTCAGTACTTTATTACTATTATTGTTCATGATTTTGAGTAATAAGAAAGTAGAGAAAAAAATGTGACACTATGCTGTGTATGTAACGTGAAAAAACAAGGAAACACTCTTTTGTAGCCAATAGGAAAAATACTTTTATTACTGATACAATGATTATTTTCACCTTGCTTATCTAAATACCTACAAAACATAAACTTAAAGCACCACAATTGACATCAACATAGAATAAAAAGTGTTTCTAAATCTTACTTTTGTTTTTTTTGGATACAATGGCTTTGCCTTTAAATGTTAAAACAGTATTATTATTATTTTTTTAAGACACACATTTATCTGTTTAATGTTTCTACAGTAATGTTGAGAGCCAAAGATAATTATTGTGTGTAGCTTCAAAATACCTTGTTTCTGAAGCAGAATCGTTCCTATAATATCAAATGTGATTATGCTTAATCTTCAAAGCCAATAAAATCTACGGGGAGCTTAGTGCCTTCTTCTCAATGCACTTGGACTTGCATATACTCGTGTAAGGTTGTTTTGTGTGCGCGTGTGAAAGTGTCAGCTTACCCAAATTTTCATGAGCTTAACCATCTTACTAAATTTCCCCAACTATAAGTGTGTTTTTCATTGATCCCCGCACATCTGACGATTTGTGTGTCACATATTGACAAATGTAGGAATTGCCCTTTTACACAAAATAAAACCATGTATAAAAGTCTGCTGATTGCTTTGACGAAGCTTCTCTGTTTATAACAGAAAAAATGTAGATCATGATTTATTACTAAGTATGAGGAAAATGTCTTTTAAAAAACTGGCATAATTGAAGAGCTCTCCTTTTAAAGGTGTAAAAATAATGCGTTTTGTCTTTGTTGCTACAATTATCGACATTTGTCTGAGTTTTTTCGTCCTCATTGTTTGGCACTTGCTCCAGACCTCCACAGAAGAGCCTCTTCACGTTCATATTTCTCCGTCAGAATTACGAATGATCACCTAGGAAATAAGAGTGGGAAAAGAAACCTTTTTAGCTAACAGGTCACATGTAAACTCACTTGATAAAGATTAAGGCCCTGTCCACACGAAGTCAAGCTCAGGCCTAAACGCAAAAATACTTTATCAATCCAGTGTATCGTCCATACGAGGCCGGCGTTTTGGGGGGTGTAAACGAACATTTTTGAAACTAGGTCCCAGAGTGGAAAGATTTCAAAACTCCGTATATGCCGCTCCGTGGTTACTGCCTCTCCGCAATGTATCTGAGACGCTTGCGTCATCGCCCCGCCTCTTGTTAAAGCACGCATGCGCCGCACTCAGAAAATAATGACAACAACAATGTAGCTTGTTGTTTTGTAATCCAGTGCGACCCGAAGCAACAGTTCAACCTCATCGTCCGTCCATACTAATGTAGTACCAGCTCGCCCACTCGCCATGTTGTCTGTTTACAAAATTCCGCGCATGCCCACGGAAGTTTGGGCTTGATCCCGTCATTGCGTCACAGCGCCACCAACAGGTCTGGCATAGTTTCACAGCGTTTTCAGGCGTATTGACTACATTCATATGGACGCACACATTTACTGAGCTAACTCCGTGTTTACAGAAAAAGTTTCTGAAATTATAAGCGTTCTGTCTTCGTGTGGATATAGCCTAATAATTGTTTTATGTGGCATGTTGATCACAGTTCTGATTTTGGGTTCACTTAAGTCATTCCATTTGATTCCTAAGTAGGTCAGATGAAATAGATAAGCATACTGTGTGGTGGTCATCGGCCTCCCGCTCTGGGCTCTCCCTGTGGACTCGGTGGTAGAGAGGAGACAGAGAGGGGGAGTGTTCAGGGCTACTGCCTGATGGAGAGTATGCAGAGCCAGCTGGACTGTCCATTATATGGGGAGAGTCTGCACACAACAAATGAACAACAGTTTCATGCTCTGAGGTAGAGGGACTTTGGCCATGAGTATTTGGGATTTGTCCTTAACCAACTTAAACCAAAAAAACAAAAGACTACTTCAAGCTTGGTCTAGGGCTTTATGTAGAATAATAAATCAAATGTCCAAACAAAAAGTTGATTTCAGGCAGTATAAATATCACATATATTTCATTTCATTTCATTTAACCTTGAATATGGAAAACATTGCATAGTTGTGGAATCTCAGCAAACTGAATTAAATTGTGGAATGACATTGTAAAACAACATTAAGGACTAATTGCTCCAGGTTGAGTGGTGGTTCAATGTTTGGCAGCAAGAAGTTAAAGAAGGGAAACGGGACACGAGCGTTGAGATCTGAGAGATATGAAACAGGAGTGAACAGGAAATCATCTTCCTTGATGAATAAAATGTTTATCTGTAATTACCTACCGTTTGTACAATGTATTAGATTCATGTTTTCATGTGAATGGCAGATATGAAATCTGTTCCTCTTTTCTCCTCTCACCTGGCCTCAGTTGTTGCCAATGATCTTCGTGCATTAAATATAATCTGGTTGTATTATGTGATAATAGAACAGATCCAGTCTTATTAAATAAATGTATTTGTTAATTTTTCATTGGGTAGCGTACTCAGATGGACCATTTCTGGATTGCAAGTACACTACTCATGAGTGTCCACAAGAGGGCGTAAATTTGTCTTCTGTAAATCACTACACACACCGGCTTCTGTTAAGTGGGTCCAAAAACTGTCCAAGAAAGATAATAAAGGAAAGTTGGCTGGTTTCCAATCTCAGTTGAGCTGGTTTTTACTATATACATGGGTTAGGGTAATTGTTAGGTTATTCTTCAACTGTCCGAGTGGCAGACTGCTTAGTGTTTCAACACAACGGTAACACAACTTATTTTTCCTGTCTCTCCTTTTGCTGCAGCCAAAAATGGCACAAATTTTGAACATGTTTATGCGGTCCCAGGTGCACGCCACTATCATACAGCGTTTGCTTGTCGTCTTTCTTGGCGACTTCTAGCCCTTGTGACATCACGCGAGAAATCTCTATAGGTTAAGTTTCAAGCTATATCTGTTGAGAGGCGAGTCTTCTCTCTGTAAAAGCAAATAAATAAAAGGAAAGCTATGATTTATAACAAGAAGATGCAGGCAATATACCACTTCACAAAAATGGCCAGACCAGGACAGTGAAGGGATGCACCTTTACATTATATAGAATATTATTGACTGTAGCCATTTGATACAATTAACATGTTGTGATGCAACAGTCTGAAGGTCTGAATGTGCCATTTGTGAAGACCTTTTTTTCAATATTTCAAAGCGTTTATAGATGACCTATCAGCTAGTTTCATATCCAGAGGTCTGACCGGTCTTCATGAATGAAGGCTCACCTTTGTGCTCAGTCCTCTGTGTGTCCATCCTGTCAAGACTGTCGAGCAGCCCATCGATCTGCGTCTTTATCAGAGTCAGCTCCTTCTTTATCACCTGCAGCTCCTCCAAGCCCACTGCAACACAACATATAGCGGCATTGTTAGGGCTGGCCGCTATCTTTACCGATTTGCTTCTTATGGACTTACACTTGGCTGTGTTTGAACTTGAGGAGCGAGGTCTGGAGCATTTGGAGCGGCTTCTGTCCCGACTGCGCCTGTGTCTGGAGGAGAAGCATGAGGAGCGGAGACGTTTAGCTGGACTAGCTCCCTGCGGCACTGGAGAGGAGGAAGCTGGCACCCGCTGCGTATCATATACTCTAGGGGAAAGTTAAGAACACATACTAAGTAAACATGTGTTTGTATAAACCTTTAAGAGTTAGATGAGCAGATATTAAGATGCTGAGAAATCATTCCTTCCGAATTCTAAAGTGAAAATAGAAAATGTTAGTTGAGAAAAAAATTACAAGACATTATTTTACTTGAATTTATATTTCAGGCTCACTTTATTTTCTTGACATTACCTTCTCCCAGTGGACGGCTCCATGTCTTTATCTGTCACTGAATGTAATTGGTTCTGTCAAGGCCAATCAATGGCTCCCTGCAGGCTGCTAGTGCTGCTGACAGTGGCCGGAGCAGTCCAAGTGCTTACAGAAACTATACTGATATTGTGAATGAAACCATGTTAGCTCACTGTGGTCAGTTTAACTGTTGCTGCCAATTTAACAATCCTTGTAAGTGGAAGTACTGTCAGTCTTTCACCATTGAATAGAAAATAAGCACAAAGCAAACATCTTTCAAGTAACCACCTGTCAACTGTGGTTTTCCAACAGTAAACATTTTCAAAATACTTAAGATGTGTCATTTCATTTCATGGAGATAAATGTATCAAATATTATACATTAATTTAGAATATATATGATATATATATATCTCAAATATTCATTTATATGATAATGTAACTCCATTTCATGTGATAACATAGAAATAAATCGATGTTCACTGAAAGTTGGGGTTCCCATCTAAACTGATCGAAGTAATAGAAATAGTGAGTAAGTAATCTTTATATAGTGTCTTTCACAGAAACCGCAGCACCCGGAGGTAACCTTTGCAAACAAGAGCTAACCGCTGTGTCACCCTGTAGCTTAGTGAATAATGGAGTTGAATAGTGTTGATTTGTGCATTGCCAGGAGTTGACAACAACATAAGATGGAGTAGGAACTTCCTTTCATGTGGTTGACATTTTCTCTGTCCATGTAATGGGTTGTACATACATGAAACAATTGCTGTTTAAAAATGGGAGTCCCATTGTTGTATGGCTTGAAGTGCATTAGCCCCATAAATGTGTGAGATTAGAGGCTTTGAGCCCTGCCCATGTGTTGGTGCAGAGAAGCCAAAGACTTAGAGTTTTTAAGTACGTTGGAGTTGTTTGCCACAGATAGACATGTGTTGCTATGCCAGCTTTGAAGTGTCATCTCCTAAACTGAAGCTCAGACAATGAAAGGCTGCAGACGACAGGGATTACAAGGAAACTGTGTTTGTTGTCCCTATGGATTATAGTGCACACACAAAGCAGCTCTGTCAGCTAAGGACGTTTTCATGAGCTAAGTCACCTTCTCTCTCACTCATTAAAGGACCCTCATATAGACATGTTCAAAAACCCTCCATCAAGGACAGCAATGTGGATGTGCATAAGGTGCATGTTTCCAGAAAAAAATGGCTGCAAGTGGCCTTGCTTTGCTTTGGTTCCCAGTGTGGCTTATTTAAAAAATAAAAAAAATGATTGTGATAAATTGCCCCATGAAGTCCAAACCTAAATACAACCCAGAAACGGTGACAAGATCTAAAAACTTCTGTATACAAATACTCTCCACTGATAAAGTAAAGAAGCTTAGGCTGTGTTCATTTTTAAAAATGTGTTTATATATCGACACATGGTGAATGCTGCTTAGGTCTATGTATGTACAGTACATATCTACATGTGTATATGTGTATATTATAAGTATAAAATGGATAACACAAAGCATAATACTGGTGTGTGTGTGGGTGTGTATGATACATAGGCGTGACTACGTCCGTTAATATATAGTCTATCTCCACCGTTCTAACTAATGTGCTATGCTAATGTGCCACAACTTCGAGAGGTAAGAAGATGCTATATGTTAGCATTTGCTAATTCTAGGACCCAGCCCAGCTGGTATGATACAAGCAGATATGGGCATGTCTCACCTGTCATAGTAATCATCATGATAGTCATAGTCCAGGTCTGCGTCAGATCTGCAGAAGCACAAAAAGACATCAGTGAAAGCTCTTATTATACAATACCATATATAACTGAATGTGTTTATGTACACCCTCAGACTAGGCTAATCTCTTCATCTAGAAATTGATGAGTGCCAGCTAACTGGAAAAAGACATAAGATTTGTTCTGCGGCAGAGTGGAAAATCCATACAAGTCACTGTGTGTCTGCCATAAAGAAAACCCACACGATTTGTCCATTGAGACAAGCTGTACTCTGGGTTTAAGCCAGAACCTATTATCTCCAGTGAGCAGTGACTGATGCTGGAGCAGCAGAAAGACTGGATGATGTCAGTCTATGGTGGTGACACTGAGCTGAGGTCAAATCCTTGTGTGCCCAGCCAGACCTCTGCGTTCCTCCTATATCCATCACACAAGATAATGACCCCATGATTTACGCAGTGCCCTAGTTTGTTGCCTCTGACTCACACAATCATGTCCATGATAAATAAATATGAAACAGATTGCAACATTGTGTTAACGCCATTATAAAACTTGCGGATATGGAATCTATCATCACTGCTTACTTTTTATTATTCCGGCTGTTTGATAGTTGGGACTTGGATACAGAAAAGAGAAAGGATGCAATTAAAAATATTTATCTCTAAAGTATGCAAAATGTAAGATACTTAATATTAACACATTCAAAGTCAATAGGAAAAAAAGGCAAAATAAGTGAGATGCACGCAGCAAAGATGTTGCTGCCTCAGGACCTATGTTCACTATTTAACTAAAATCGGCACAGCACATCTGTGCCAGTGCGTTCTTTTTAGTCTCTATGGACCATACGTGTTAAAAAATGAAGTCTACTAGTAATAATAATAATCAAGTTGACCGGACTTCAAATTACTGTAATGTAATTTGTTACCGATGTTATTGACAGTTTGGCTGAAAATATTTTATTCATGTGAATGATGTGTCTAAAATAAATGATAAATCAAAGGTTGGAAAACATTTGACAAAGCAAAGAGATGGGAATAAAGTATGTTTAATTTGTTACCAAAATTAAATTGGCAAGGTAATACGATAGAGTGGCTGAACAAACACATTAACTGGTTTTGTTTTAGAATTTACAAATCTTAATGTTGTCAAACATTGTATCATCTTTTGTGACTGTGTTTGCTGCCGACTTTGACACCATGAGTCCTGTGATAAATGGTGACTGGTGTGGTCTTTTGTACTGCTCTCAAAATGATTTCCCCCGTCTGTCACCAGGAGTTTGTCCCCTCAGGCCCCAAACAATGATTACAGCCAGACAGGCAGCCCCACTGTGAAAACACAGTAGTGCAACTGACTCACTTTCACTTAATAGAATATGGATCATCTATTTTATCTATTCTTTCTCAAGGTAATAGTTTAATCGGCGTTCCTCAACTTTTCTGTTGGGAGGCTGCTTTCTGCTTGGGGTCATTTTGTCTCAATTTCTATACAGTTTTTTTTTTTTATTCCTTTAACCTTCCCTCCTTCCTTCAAGACATGTCAGTGTCACACCAACCAAACAAAGCACTGTGCTCGCAAACACCAGATGTCACTGTTGAAAGCAGAGTATTTAGTTACCAAGCTCCTTTACTGCGGAATCCGCTTCCCATCCACGTTAAGAAAGCCGACATAGTCTGTATTCAAAGGAGGACCTCTGAACCTGGCGTCCTCAATCTACTCCTGCAGACTAACCTGCCCGAACCGCCTGGGATTTGCGTCAGTCCCGCATTGGACCTGTCCACGTTCTGTGGCTTACAAGTGCCTTGCGAAAGTATTCGCTTTCAACATTTCGCCACATTTCAGGCTTCAAACATAAAGATATAAAATTTAAAAATTTTTTCATGAATCAACAACAAGTGGGACACAATCGTGAAGTGGAACGAAATTTATTGGATAATGATGAAAATTGGGGCGTGCAATATTATTCGGCCCCTTTACTTTCAGTGCAGCAAAACTCCAGAAGTTCAGTGAGGATCTTTGAATGATCCAATGTTGTCCTAAATGACTGATGATTACACACAGGTGCATTCTATTTATCATCAAGTCTCCGTCTCAGGGTCACTGTTTAACGGCACGGTGGCAGAGTGGATAGCACTCTCGCCTCTCAGCAAGAAGGTCCTGGGTTCGAATCCCGGTCGGACCAGGGCCTTTCTGAGTGGAGTTTGCATGTTCTCCCCGTGTCTGCGTAGGTTTCCTCCGGGTACTCCGGTTTCCCCTACCACTAAAAATATGCCCAATAGTTCAGGCATGCGCCTCCTGTACTGGCAACCCCGCTCCCATCTCTGTGTGGAGTAAGAGACAAATGCCCAAAAATTAACAATTGTAAACCGCTTTGAGACTCAGATCTGCAGTGAAAAGGCGGTATATAAATAAAGATTACTTACTTACTTACTAAAGCGCAGAGAGAACCATGAAGACAAAGGAACACACCAGGCAGGTCCGAGATACTGTTGTGGAGAAGTTTAAAGCCGGATTTGGATACAAAAAGGTTCCCAAACTTTAAGCATCTCAAGGAGCACTGTGCAAGCAATTATATTGAAATGGAAGGAGTATCAGACCACTGCAAATCTACCAAGACCCGGCCGTCCCTCCAAACTTTCATCTCAAACAAGGAGAAGACTGATCAGAGATGCAGCCAAGAGGCCCATGATCACTCTGGATGAACTGCAGATAACTACTGCTGAGGTGGGAGAGTCTGTCCATAGGACGGCAATCAGTCGTGCACTGCACAAATCTGGCCTTTATGGAAGAGTGGCCATTTCTCAAAGATATCCATAAAAAGTCTTGTTTAAAGTTTGCCACAAGCCACCTGGGAGACACACCAAACATGTGGAAGAAGGTGCTCTGGTCAGATGAAACCAAAATCGAACTATTTGGCCACAATGCAAAACGATATGTTTGGTGTAAAAGCAACACAGCTCATCACCCTGAACACACCATCCCCACTGTCAAACATGGTGGTGGCAGCATCATGCTTTGGGCCTGCTTTTCTTCAGCAGGGACAGGGAAGATGGCTAAAATTGATGGGAAGATTGATGGAGCCAAATACAGGACCATCCTGGAAGAAAACCTGTTGGAGTCTGCGAAAGACCTGAGACTGGGACGGAGATTTATCTTCCAACAGGACAATGATCCAAAACATAAAGCCAAATCTACAATGGAATGGTTCACAAATAGACGTATCCAGGTGTTAGAATGGCCAAGTCAAAGTCCAGACCTGAATCCAATCGAGAATCTGTGGAAAGAGCTGAAGACTGCTGTTCACTAACGCTGAAGACTGCTGTTCACAACCACACTGAGCTCAAGCTGTTTTGCAAGGAAGAATGGGCAAGAATTCCAGTCTCTCGATGTGCAAAACTGATAGAGACATACCCCAAGCGACTTGCAGCTGTAATTGCAGCAAAAGGTGGCGCTACAAAGTATTAGCGCAAGGGGGCCGAATAATACTGCACGCCCCACTTTTCAGTTTTTTATTTGTTAAAAAAGTTTATATTATCCAATAAATTTCGTTCCACCACACGATTGTGTCCCACTTGTTGTTGATTCTTGACAAAAAATTTAATTCTTATATCTTTATGTTTGAAGCCTGAAATGTGGCGAAATGTTGAAAGGTTCAAGGGGGCCGAATACTGTACATGTATATGTCAGTATGAATTGTGTGTATCTGATGTGAAAGTATTTTAATTTTAGGATAGCATGGACAAAAGCACTTTCCTCCTATACTGATAAATGTGGCTTGCAGAGAAATAAAAAGAACAGTGCACTGTGCTGATTGAGATGAGAGTTGATTGACTTTGATGGAGACGAAGAGACTGCAGCCCTCTCCTTTCAGACAGTCTCAGAGGACAGACGCCTGGCTAATCTATTACCCTTTTTCATTGTATTTTAAAAATCCTCACTATTCAGCCTGATGAGACCTGTAAAACTACAAAAAGCACAAGAGCAAAAATGTAGATGTATCCTTTGATCATATGTCACTGCAGCAATGGACAGATAAACATACAATGAAAATAGAAGTAGAAAAATACATTGTATATACAGAGGACATTTCATACAGGAAACTCGCCTGGCTGACACCAGATTAAATGTCACAAGTGAATATGTAGTCTAGGTTAATTTTTCTTATATGAGGTTTACAGGGAACCACAAATGTCTATCATATCATACTCCATAGCAATAACATGGCTTGCTAATGGCTTATCTTTCCCATTCAAAGTAGTACAATTTCACTCATGCAAAGCCCACAATCTGCAAGTGGCCCCAAAAATTGAAAAATAATAATCAGCTCCCCAGTGATTGGTTCCCAAATTCATGCAAACATTTCAGCCATGGTTTCCATGCTGTTGTGCTATTCAAGAGAACCGGAAGTCGTGAAGGCAAGTGTTACCCATAATGCAACGCAAAATTCAGTCGCTCCCCCGCCCATCGGATGGAATTTTGGGAGAGCAGAACGCCCGAATTGGCAGTAAAGAATTGGCTCAAGAAGCGGTTCCAATCCTGTTAAAAAACTACTTCATAAAGGGAAAATTGAAAGCCTTTCAAATATTTGTTTTCCGCTGGCTCCAGTTTTTGCAAATGAAAAAACAAAAGACTAATTTATCAATTAGTCTTTTGTAACTACAGTTTTAGATGTGCTACTTTTTCTGTGATTTTCATAAAGCCGCATTTTATCAAAAGGTGACTTTCAACTTTTTACCACTTTAAAGGGCCCATATCACGGTTTTTGACTTTTCTCTGCTTTAAACATGATTACAGTGCTATTTGGCCTTCATACACAAGCCCACAGTAGTTTATTCATTGATTCTGTCAATCTTTAGTAAGAGAGCAATCTGTCTCCTTCCCCAGCGTGAGGCACAGAAACGCTCGGGTCCAGTTCAGTGACGAAAACCACACTGATGACGCGCATGACCCCGTTTGCTTTCTATTTAAAATAGTTTTTAAATACTTTCGTCAAAACGGGGTAAACAATACACAATTAGTATGCTGTTTGTTTTCAAAA